ATGCAAAGAAACATGCAGCTGATTGGAAGACATGTGTTGCACAATGAGTACTGGGACCGAGCCTGGATCGTTCAGGAAATTGTTCTCGCGCGACGCGTGGTTGTGTCTCTCAATGTTGTCACACTCTCACTGGTACTGTTTTGCAGGAGGTTAAGTCAGCATCGTCTCGACCTTACAGGAACGCCTTTCCAGCAATTCGAAGTTTCTCGGCACAGGAATGCACTACAGGTGCTAAGAAACACAAGTCTACTGTCTTTACTTGGTCGCTTTCGCGACAAACATTGCGCTCTACCAAGAGATCGTGTGTTTTCCCTACTCGCAATGTGCCATCCGAGGGAACGGATCTCAGCCGACTACGGCAATTCATGGACAGACCTAGTCGTACAAATTCTTGCAAAGACCCAGCATATACCATGCCTTTGTTCAGCTGCACTTCTAGCGAGAAGTCTTACGCCCTTCGATCGATCAAAGCCAGCCGGTACAGTTCCTGCCGTCGAGCCAATGCTGACGTTTGACATTACGGACGTGTACTCAAAAACCATCAATATGTTATACGAGCAGAAGACGTATGACTCGAGCGACATAAACTTTGGGCTTAAGTGGTCTCCGGAACAGGAGTTCATTGATGGAAGACCTTGTCTAGACGGACTGTTGAGTGCCGTAAGGAGTGTGATGAGGAATCCTGAAGGTTGGGCGGGCACATACGTTCCGCACGCGTTCTATGTGAAGACTGCTTGGCCAGACACAACTTGGGATGCTTGGAAGCGTGATGAAAGGGGCAGAAAAACAAGGCGGAGCTTGGTCAAATTATTGCGCGTCTTCTTGGAATCAGATTCAAATATAGCTTACAGACATCTGTTCAAGCGCATGGAGACGACTTTGTACTGGTTCAACTTCGCACCCGGATGGTATATGAGAGCAAGGGAACATCAAGACGACACTGTCACTCTGCGTGTGTCCCTCAGCGCTCTGGCCAAGCCATCAGACAGTGTATTTGGCACGTCGCTGTGTGGCTGGCAGGGCGACGAGAGCTCTTTGAGTAGAGAGGATCAGTTTTTTAGGCAATTTAGCGTATACCATCCACCAAACAATCGATGAGGACAGATATCGCAACGAAAGCTGTCACTTGCGAGTTCTCTAATGTAACTTCTCCTGTCCGCACCGTCTTGCCAGAGTAGGAAGTATGTCTTGTACATTCCATTAATTCTCTGGGGCAGCCAGTATGTTGACTCCTACACGGCCTGTGACACAAAGTTTCATCTCAAAGTCTCGCCTTCTCCATGCGCGAAGCCGGATGCCTCTCGTCAATCTTCGGCAGCTTATCACTCCACGTCCTCCCATTCCTCATAAACACCCTCCTCCAATCGGTCGGATTCAACGGCGCCTGATCCCACCTCCTGCCTCTCTTCGCACTGACCTTCGCTCGCTTCTCTTCCGCAATACCACTAGCAGCCGCGACCTTCTTTCCTCTCTCCGCACCAAAGTTGCTGGGGATCGCTTGACTAAATTCTTTCGCACTGACTTCCAGTAGCGCCTCGGTATCGGCTTTGATCCGGTCTGCAAGGAGACGGATAGAAGACTCAGCGCAGTGAGCGGCGGCGCGGCGTTGCCAATATTCTAGAAAACGATATCCATGGCCGATCATGCCGCACATCGCGCCTGCTGAATGGAGGAAGTGGCCGTTGCCGAAGGAATCGCCTGCTACAATGCCATTAATGGCCACGCGGGCGTCAGCACCAATGCGCTCAACGAGGCTGAAAGGTTTGGGGCCGTAGACCATGGCGACTCGGCGGAGCTCGTCTGGAGATATTTCCAGGATGAGGGAGGCTTGCGAGATGTAGTAGTCGTAAAGGAGGAGTTGATAGGCTGCGAAGTATTCGGTGGAGTCTTTGCTGGTCCCGGCACCGACAAGACCGCGTTCGACTGGGCATAGTGAGACAAACTCAGGTACCTCGACGATGAGCCAGGAGACCCTTGGGTCGCCTTCGTGGCCTACAGCAATCTGCCGTACCCATGATTCGTTGCCATGCTTATCAAATTCGGAAGCGATACGACGACGCAACCGTCCGTCAACGAGAATATTGAATTGGCCAGCGACGAAATCTGCTTGCGCTACTTTGGCACCTTGACCATCGCCATGGTCTACTTGTACGTCGTGCTGCTGGAAGCCTAGTTGCTCTGCTTCACGGCAGTTGATGCCTGTGGCGACGCTGAACAGCTCCGGGACCCCAAGATCGATGAAGTCGCTTCCTGGTGTGCGGATTCTTTGGAGATCGTTGTGATATTGAACTTCGGTAACCTCTTCGATCCGAATTTGGACGCGACCACACGTCAGATGGACTAGACCACTTCCGTCCTGTACTACGCGGTGTTTTGTGAAGAGGCGACATCTGGGCGTCTTGCTAGCGTTGAGATCGATCTTCTCGAGCGCCTCGAGATAGCGGCGGAGAAGAAGCTGGATGGAGAATGCCGCAGCTTGCCACGTCGAAGGTCCGTCGAGGACTTCTCGCATATCGGTACGTATTTTGGTCGGGCAGGGGTGCTCCGGGATAGAGGGCGGAGGCACAGTGGTGACAGTGCGATGCGGCTTGCCGTTCTTCCAGCGGTCGTCGATGTACTCAATATTATGGATGTTGCCGACCATATGGAGTTCCTTCTCGTATCCCTCGATGATAGCTCCGGGTATGATGTCCCTAGATTTGGTCATGGGATGGTAGAACAAGTCTGCCAGACTAAGCAGTGTTCCATCCAATCTCTTCGGAAGGTTGTCCAGTCCGTATCGATCCAACATCATCTTGTCGATAAGGCCTAGCTGATGGTACATGTCTTCACGAATGTTCCAGTGCACTCCTAGAAACGGGTCGCCGCGAAGCTCAACACCAACGGCACGGCGGCCCATGGCTATAGCCCACAGCATCGCCAGCATGTTTGCGCCTCCAAGGCCGATGGCAACGAAATCGGCATCTTTGACTCCGGATAGCGTGGTTGAGCGACTACCGCCTGGAACTTTGGTGTTCTGGGTCCGTTCTTGAGCTAGGTATTTAGTCGTAGAATAAAGATTGCTATTACTGGAAGCCATTGGGGCTAAAATGAGGTTCAAGTCGAATTGACAAGTGCGAACAAGACGGGCACAGCACTTCTTCAATGGACTTGAAAACCAGCATCCCCGCTGAACCATTCCATGCGGGACGGGGCGTTTACGTTGCAGAGGTGACTTACCGTTCTGGTACATCTGCCCCGTCAAGACCCTGGATGCCTACCATGCTGAGTCTAGGTTCCCCACAGTTGCTAACTCAAGAGGAACTAATACAGTTCGCATCTTGCCCATGATATTGGCGGCGTGGGGCGAGACGCTGCCACATATCGTTTATTGGCGCGACGATATATGTGCCCCTACAAGCGTAAATCCTGCCATGCATGTCCTGCACGTTGTGTGGTAGTTTCGGTGCGACGGGCCTTTCATAAAGTCACCCGTGAAGACCGTTGTGGCATTCCCGTCGGAGCTGTCATGGAAGCAACTACATCTGGCCGTGTAGTATCGATAGTGAAAATCCAATCGACTCTGGCTGAAAACCTGTGCGGATCCTACAAGTGACAACCAGGTGTACGACTGTGACGGTGGTTTTTGAACGCCTCCACGAGCGCACGACGATAGGGTAGCGTGATCTAGAAGCGGGATATTATGAGCTTTGTGCTAACGATGCATGAAGCACATCCGGAGTAAAACCTTCTTTCCCCCTCACAAGGCGGGCTAAGCAAGGCGATGTATTTGTGACAAGCGCCGCAATCAGGTGGGTATGTTGCTCAAGGCCTGCCACGCCATCTAGAGTGGAGCCTTACATCCATGGGTGCAGTAAGCGACGCATGCAGCAATCAATGCACCGTGAAGGCGGGGAGTCTGCCGAGACCAGGAACGATCGAGGGCGCCATCGCGGGGAAGGGATGTTGTTGATTCAGAAACGGATGTGACAGCGAGCTGTACACAGTATACGGTCGCAACTTGTTCGGGCAGCTGGTCGCCAGGGGACGAAGGGTTGAGGGTGACCGGGAGCGACAGAACGGAGATGTGCCACGCTTGGCGCTAAAACACGCGTCCGAAGCACGGAACGCGCTCTTAGCTCGATGGACCCGGCATCGACTGCAACTTCACAACCGAGGCTTAGCTCTTACAATCCCGCGCCCTCGTTCACAATCAGTCGCAACTGTACGTTGCGATGCTTAATAGCGGATTCGACATATGCATCCCTCATCTCCCACGTGGGACACGCCACACGAAGTCGCCACTACTACGCATCCCTTCTACCGTCGGATGTATTCAGTCTCTCAGCAACCGCCTAGTATCTCATATACTTCAACATGCGATCTGTAAACGCCTGGCTAAGCACGAAAATCAGAGGCCATCGCCATTCCGAGCGAGGCCTTACTCCGGTCTTGTTCCGCGGTTCACTATGATGCATAGATGACTACCCACTCGACTCATAACCATCGCAAGCTCCGTCCCTCCTCAAGCTTTACAGTTGTCGACTTTCGAGAGTCTTCCACTATGAGACTGTTGCAACAGATCAGCATCGCGCTCCTCGACCGACGCTTATAGTCTAGACCGTCGTCCGCAACACACCAAGATTACCACGCGCCCGACCCTCCACAACTTCGCTGTTGTGCCTTCCACACTACGAATACAGTCTTGCAGCACGCTGCTATTTCGCCGAATACACGCTCAGCAGGGGTAATGCCGCGCCCTCTATCTTGGGCGACACGGATTCATGTGGACTTAGCAGCTGGAAAGCTAGGGAATTATGGGGACATAAAATAATCAGGAAGTCCTCTGTCGGACTGGATGCCATTGGATTGCATAGGGAATGCCTACGCAAGAAAACCCGGCGGATGATCATCATGGGTTCGAACTTGCGAACGCTCCTACACTCGACAGGGTCTTCCTCTCTCGTACTGACACGGCTCAGAGTGTACAAACGTGTCGTGAAGAGAGAACTTGTCTCGATCTACGAGCGCATGTGTACACGGCATCCATCTCCCGAAGCAACTACCAACGTCAAGGTCTGCTTTTCCCGACCGGTAGGGACAACAGGGTCATCCTTCGGGACAGTCATGGAAGGGAACATTTGCACCAACCTCGCTACGGTATATCCCGCCTCCAGTAGGGCAAATCCTTGACCCAGGCAAACTCGTGGTCCACCATTGAAGGGAAGATACCCGTAGCCTACGTCTTGCAGCAGGGCCCCATCTTCCCATCTCTCGGGGCGGAACTCGAGCGCATCTTCTCCGTAAATGTCTGTTCGTCGATGCATAGCGTATACACAATAACCGACAGCCTCGCCTTTTCGAACCAATATCGGCGATGTACCATCCGGACCTCCTCCGACAGGAAGCGTCGTTGTTTTGAGTGCTGCACGAGAGTTGATTGGCACGGATGGGTAGAGGCGAAGTACCTCCTTCAAAATGAGATCAAGATATCTCATCTTCTTCAAATCCACCCGACTTGGTTGAGGCGCATGCTGTCCGAGGCCTACGACTGTCTCTATTTCCGAACGTAGCCTTTCCAAAACTCTAGGGTGACGGACTAGCAAGCGCAAGGTCCAGGTGAGGCAGCATGCAGTTGTGTCTCTGCCCGCCAGTAAAACGTTGAGACACTGATCGCGAAGTTCCTTCTTGTTCCGAGTTTCTTGGATGAGCGCGTCGATAAACACATAATGCTTCTTGTCCTCGGCTTCTGCTTTCTCGGGTTTCGTGCTCTCCGCATTGTCCAGTGCTCTCTGAATCGCGTCGTCAACGAAGCGATGAGAGGTCTTGCAAGCTTGCCAGAATTCGGGAGTACTCGCAAGCCAGTACAACTCTCCCAGCCTGCCACGATGAGACAAGTAATCCTGGCCCAGATTAAAGGCTGCTGCAAACTTAGACTCTTGTCCAGCAATGTCGCTGCTTTGCAAAGAGCTCAATGTTTTCCCAAAGAGCAGGAACGTTGTCGTGTCGAAGGTCAAGCGAAAGAACAACGGTTGGAGATCAACATTGCTGTCGGCATGAATTTGATTGATGAGGTCTTCGACTGACGTTTTCATCTCCACGAAGTTCTGGTAGCGATTGGAGGTGAATTGGGAACGGAGTAGCTCCCGCGAGTGTCTCCATGCTGCACCGTCTTGGGTAAAAATTCCGCTTCCCATCAATGGAGCAAAATGCTTGGGTCGGAGACCAAGACTGAAGTCTACCAAAACGTCAATGCCTGCGCGTGTCCTAACTACGCGGTTTTGACTAACCTTCAAACTGGGTAGAGAGGATTTCTTCGACGTTCCGTGGTTCAATGGTATTGATACTGCGAGCCCCGACTATGCAGTGTCAATGCCGCAGACTTCGTCGTGTCTTTGATGACTCACGCAACTGCTGTTCATGCGTCGGACCGCTTGAGTCCACCACGTCTAAGAAAAACTGTAGAATAGTCTGCGCTCTTGCATGCTGCCCCGCCTTGAAGAGCAGATCCAAGCCTTGTGGCCACTTTGCTGCCCATTTGCGCGGTGCTTTGCACCCCATTCGCGCCGCATATTGGTCTTCCTCCTGTTGAATATCAGCAGCGCTATCTCCATATTATCAATCACGCCTACATTGCGCTGCCTTCGGCTCTTCCGGAATTTTACAATCAGCAGGACGAGGACGACTAGACACAACGCCGTACTTGTAGTCGCCATGCCACTCAGCTCGATGATAGTAAAGTCAAAAGATCGATTGACGATATGTGGTGCAACTACGGAGCGAATACGACGCTTTCACCGTAATAACCTTGCCCGCAGATTGAAATCTCAAACACCGAGTATCTGGGCAAACGCCTCAGGTTTGTTGTTATCGGCTGACTACATATATCGGTCAGCGCACGGTACCTGCAACAGTGGCATGTTGTTGGCCGTTGGCTGCGAGGCGCTTTGTCCGGTGTTTTGTCCAATGGGAAGATCATGATGAAGCCAACACTAGTGTGTTGGTTAAAGCTTGGCGTGTGACGTGCTCCTTGCCGCAATGACTTTGTTGAAGTAGGCACCGGCGATCGAATGGCTATGCTGCTGATAAGATAACGCAGAATATAATGAGGAGGAGATAGAGATGCAGAAGAAGATATCATGCAGGATGCACCCATCGCCGGGCTATATCGAACCACTGGAACTTCCATCGAAAATTGACTACCTGGCTGATATGACAAACAACAACTACACGCGTCATATTGCCTACTGGAGTTCGGCAAGCGCCAATGCGTTCCTTGAGGAAACGATCTCGCAATGCCGGTCGAGCATCTTGTTCGACATGCGATCAAGCTTTTCTCCTCTTACTCAAAGGCTCCACAAACATATCCCCTAGTTTATACTCCAATTCTTCTTTCCTAAGAACTCGGAGGTGACCGGCAATATCACTACCCATCTTATCACCCGACAAGACCGGACCTAACCGCCTCTGCGATCTCTCAAATTCCGCTCTCGCTTTCTTTCCCAAAATCTCGTAACCTGGTCGCTTTCCCGGGCTGATCTGGAGACAGTCGATCACTAGCTGGTGCAAGACATTGGAATACATCGCATCGTAGCCTGGAACGTCTGTCGATGTGAAGGTAGTACCTTCTGCAAACTGGAACGAAGCTTTGATGCTGTCCTCGCATATCTGATCCGACCTTTCTTTGCCAAGCGTAGTATGCATCAGTTTCCAGATAACCATCCCAAGCGACCAAATATCTGCTTTGGCGTTGACAGGATGATGATGTGCTGCCTCTACGATGATCTCCGGGGCTTGGAATCCTTTGGTGCCCCAATCGTTTCTACCCTCTAAAACATCTGTATATGGTGAGATCGTTTTGACGACATCGTAGTCAGCAAGGAGAGTCTTTGGGTAAGCTAGGTAGGGTTCCTTGGAGGTACTGAGAAAGATGTTCGCTGGCTTGACATCTAAGTGTACCATGCTACCTTTGAACTTCTCCCTGGGCTGGTTCCCACCTCGCTTTCTTTTCTTTGTCTTTTGTCCCTCTTTTCCGACTTCTGGGCCATGCTCTGCTCCTTCCGCCGTTTTGTCCTCGTCGAGCGTCTCTCCACACACCCCCGTGTTTAGGGTACATATGGCATCGGCCAGCGCATGAAAGACCATCCAGATAAACTGCTCGGGAATTTGCTTGTCCAGATTCTCTTCCTGGTAATAAACTTTGAGAAGTTCGCTCAGATCTCCGTGCTCGGCGTAATCAGAATACAAGCGATACGTCAGCGTACCCTCTTGTTGAGAGGCTGCCTGAATGTGATGGCAATGATCACAAAGCTCCAGTTGTCGACTGATGTTGTACTCATCTTCGACAAAATTTAACATTCTCTGCGAGCCGCAACGTATCTTCTTACATACCTTCCTCTAGCTAATGTCAGTAACGTTTGGCGATGTAAGGGTTGATGAAGATACTAACTTTCAATATCCTACCGGTTTCATCGCATAGCACGTACAAGCATACCACTGTGCGCATCTCTCTGGACCCGCTAAATCTAGTACGAGAGTCCATCAGCGTCTTGCACCATTGCCATGCTTGCGTTGCGTTGTTATGTGGTTCGTCGTGGCCCCTCTTCCTCGTCTGGTGAGGTGCTGCTCTACCAGTATCTGCTTCCGTAAGACCAACCCTTGCTATTGCGATCTCGCCATCACTAGGCTCGTAATCAGATTTCTCTGTCTCGTTCGATGCTTCCGGGTTATCGGCCTCAGCGGGTGGCGCTACGCCATGCAACGGGTCTTCTATGTCGCGAACATTATCTTCTGGGGCTGCCGATTCTGCCTGCTTACGGCCTCCATTGATCACTTCTTGGGGACTGTCCCTAGAAGACTCTTCTTCGCTCTCAATCTCACGATCTGACGCATGGCTGACCGCCCCAGATGCGGCACGGTTGATGTATTCCTGTTGCGCCGTGGATGCCGTCTTATTCCATACCCGTGAAAGCACACCAGCCCCATCAATCCCGCCCTTGTACTCCGTTAAGAATAGCAGATATCCACGCCGCGCATCGTCGTTGGGTAGTGCACTGAAAAGCTCATTGTATCTCTGCGTCGAGCCGTCAGGTAAAGCCAGCGGATCTGCCATGTATGTGGTCCAAAGTTATTTTGCGCAGTACCGAAGGTAGCTCTTGTTTTGATCACAAGAACGCAAAAAAGAGGCATTCTTTGATTATATGCTCCTTGTCTTAGGTCGATAATGTATCGAACAAAGGCTCTATACTTCATTGTTCGTGGTGTGTTTGCGGCCACACCCACATCCTGATCTTCGAGTAGCTAGCCCTGAAGACACATCCTACAGACCTGAATCATTCTAGACCATGTGTATAGAACGCAACGATGAGATTCTGTGTATCAGATGATGACTTTCATAAAATCACGGCCAAAGATGTTCGGTATCGGTCGTTCATAATCAGGTAAGAATGTCCAGCAGGTAAATACCTTGTACACCTAGTTCCTGTCGTATGAGGGACACACGAATACACCATAGTGAAGGTCTGTATTTTGAGTGAGCATCAAATTAATATCTGCATCCAAATTCGTCTTGGTTTGGCTCGTGCGGGAGTGATGACTGCCTGGGTGCTGCATCGATCTCCTCGCATACCGATTGACCCTGGACCTTCACTTGACTACCTAGGTAAGAGGGCGTTGCACTTAAAATCATCTGGAACAGCAGATCAGAAGCTAGCTGGAAACGATTTTCAGATTACCTTTGGTGACGTAACACTCATATTAACATGGAAGGCACCTTCCTCAAGGTTGAGCTCTGCTCCCCAACACGGCAAGCGCCCCTCACCTCCAATTTTCCTACGCTAATCGCTCTCTGTCTTCTGGCTACACTTCTGGATATTATGAAGTAAGACACGAAAGTTCGTCTATCGATCAGTGCGAGCGCAACGTTGCCGCGCGGTATTGTCAACGTCGCGCTTTCCATTCGACAAAGATCTCGGTCCAGCCCCATCACTCCTACCCTCCACATCCAGTCATGGCGCAAGAGCAGATGAAGAACACGCGACAGCGACCTCTATCAGGTCCATTAATGCCTTCGCAACAACGACTATTCGTCGGACCTACCCCAAACATGTTGCCGTCCAAATTTCCAGCCAGGTCCGAACGAAATGCAACGGGCGGCCAGGCTTTCCTGCCTCCCATGGCACCACATCACTGGCCTTCTTTTCCGCACCTCAATCATCCATTCGAAAATTCATATCCTGATCTCACAGCCCGACGCCGACAACACCCACTTCCGTTCAGCATGTCGCGCAACGAGCATAACGTCGACCTCAACACTGGCGCAAAAAGAACCGATCTAAAACCACCAGCAACACCAATGCAAGGCAGTGGTTGTGCAAGTCCCGCTGATCAGCGCCATGACTCTCTGATTAAGGGAGACACTATCCACGTCTCGCCCGCACCGCTTCCGACGGGCTGGAACGGTAGTCGTATTCCATCAAACAACGTCCCGAGGAAGGCGCCGCTGGCAGCTCGCTCTCCAGATGACATCTCACCATTCATAGCGAGAAAGATACCGCCAACGAAGCAACAGAGATCTACGAGTCAACCAAAGGCAACTCCCGGCCCCTCACAAGGCAGCCGAGTACGCCAGCAGAAGTCGTTCAATACGCCGCCGTTGGGTACCCCTAAGAGAGGACGACCGCGACTAGACGATGGAGTTCAAGATAATAACGCAGCTGGTGGGCTGAGCAGCCAGGGAAATGATCAAATCGGTCAAAATATCAGCGCGCAGCCTCCCATCGGCATGTTTGCGCCTCCGCAGGTATCGTCCGCAACACCACCGAAACCCCTCAGACCAAAACCGAGGCATAGCTACGTCGTTCCTATGGAGTTGATAGGCACACAAAAAGCCCTTGGTAATTGGTCATTGCTCAAAACTATCGGGAACATTCGCTGATAACATTTCTTCTAGGCCCAGACAACTGGAACGAATACGTATACCTCATGGAGCAGCTCTGGACCGAAGAAATCACCTTTGACGAGTTTGGCGTGCGCACGAAACGGATATTCCAAATGTTCGATGAGAGTATTCGGAAGAGGTTGAACAATACAGTGGCGATGAAGATGATAGTGCCGCGGCTAGAGGAATTACGGGAGAGAGGTCAATCGACTAAGGGTACGGAAGACGTCTAACTTAGGCTCTAGAAGGGCCATCGGCCTCGCACATCATGGTAAGGTTGTGGACGCGGGACAGTAGGAGTCATGCATGCAAGATGCTAGACAAATTCAAGTCTATTCCAGAAGTACTCGGTGGTGCGCGCGTAGACGATCAATCCCAAGAATTCGCGGCATGGCATTCAAAGAGCTGATGACCGCCGCCTTCGCTTGTATCCATCCTCGTACGCTTGCTTCTTCCTCAGTCTTTCCAACCACAAATCGTCCTCACAACGCTTGCCGCTTATCAAGGCCTCATATGTTCCGTTGTCCTTCCAAAGACGGTCCAAGCCCATGTATATGCAGAGCAAGTCACCGTTTGGTACCGTGTAGTTTATCTCGTCGCGAAACTGCTGCGTCGCTACTTCAAGTTTCAGAAGTGACTCTCGGATGGCCGTGGCACTGATTGTGGGACAAGCCGTAGGAGAAGGAGGATTGGCGTTCCGATTGCTAGGGATGAAGATGATGTAGCCGCGTTTGCGGGTTAAGCGTGTCCACTGGAGCATATTCTTGGTGAAGTGACAGCGAGCTAAGATAGTCGCGAGCGGGTGCTTTGAAACTCTCATGTCTGGAGATACATATGTTAGCAACAAGGTACGACCCAGCGACACCGGAAAAGAGACTCACCGAACGAGAACGACCCGTTTTTCTGGACACCCTCGGGGAAGACCTTGCGCATCTTGGTGCAAGGCCAGCATGGCCAGCAATCCGGAGTCGCATTCTCCTTGCCTATCCATTCTTGACCTTCGTTCCTCATCTCTTTCCACTTCTCACATCCTTCCATCTGTAGCAGGCCACTGCCGTCCTCAGGCACAAAGTCCATGGGTCGTGTGACATCACTACCAATGCACGTCCTGCCATCCCAACCCCACAGTCCGTTGGCCATACTCTTCTGGGTGATGTGGTCGCCTCCGTACAGCGTTGGAAAGGAGACTTTGAAGCCATCCAACTTCGCTAACCGCTTGACTGTTGTCATAAACATGTCCAACCTGTCGTCATCGTCCTCTGGAAATACCCACGCGAATCTCCCTAGCACCTCGTCTTTCCAGAGTTGACGGCGCTGGTAGTGCGAGAGTATGAATGCTTTACCCTTGTTGTCAGTAACATGATCTTTGGAATCTAGACAGTCGTCACTGAGAGCAAAGATCATGACTGCGATGGTATTCGCATCCGTGTTTAGATAGGTGTGCCAGAGAAGCGCGGCGTGACCTGCATGTGGTGGATTGAAACATCCGGGGTAGATTATAATACGGTTCTCCCGGCCGCGTTGGAGCTCAGGTCCTGGAGATCTGGTGAAGATGCCCGGCGAGGGGTCGGGGAATCCTTGCATGTCTTCGTATGCGCGGTGGATGTAGTCTTCTAGATGAATCGCCTGTGACTTAGTCGATCTTGCGGTACCTACAGATGAGCTATGCTGGATGTTTGCGGGTCTGGAAATGTCTGCGCCCACAGCCGAGTCGATCTGGTTTAGCTCGACAGCATTATCGTCGTCTCGATCGCTAATTTGCTGCACTACTTGAAGTTTTGTATCATCTCCAGAATCTATGAGATTAGTCTTGTCGAATTGAGCTTTCTCCATGCTCGGCTTATAATACAGAATGCGCGACTACCTTTGGAGTAGAAAACCCAAATGCAGAGTGCGCACAGTGGGAGTTCTTCAAGGTCCGTGCATCGTCGCTCGTAGTGCTACAAGTATTCACTGGCGATGTCATATTAACAGCAGAGGTGAAGCAGGCTCTCATACTATCCCAAGTCGCGATAGACAATATCTTGTATACCCCGTAAGGGACAGCATGGCGCGATGTTGTATCATGAGAACGATTTGCAAGGTCCCGAGTATGGCGTTGACGGAAATCTTCAAGCTTGAAATGATACTCTGTGTGAGTGTTCGAGGGTAGCGCAGTCCAATGGACATGAAAGCTTCGTTGGCAACGTCAGACGAGTGCAAGGAGACATGGTGCAAACCATGGATATTGTTTAACGAGCTCGATCCTTGGGTTATAACTAATAGAAGTACTGCTGTTCACAGCTAGTTCCAGTGCCTTCGTTTCAAAAAAGCTCATCGCTTGGTCGTCCCTGCGATACATTTAGGCGTAGACTACAGCTGAGAATTGCTGCCTGCTCAGATAGTAGCCCTTAAATCAACCATACGCATTCGGTACGCCTTCCGCTTGCGTGCGTACCCATATCAGTTGTTCTCCACAACGAGTGAGGAGCACCGGACGGCAACCACCGTTATCGACTTACCAGCCCACCAATGTACACATCCATAGTCCTACGCAGAAGACTTGAACCTCGAGCGCGAACCCCGGAAGCACTGGACGGGCTTGGGTGTAGTAACAGTTTCTGCATTACTTTTTGGAAGGTTCTTTCTCGATTTTACACCGCCTGGCCGAGGTCTGGAGCATGCAGATAGAGCTGTCAGAAGGCGATAGTTTCAAAGACTGCATTTAGAGCATTGTCGGTCATGTCCGAAATCGATAACGCAGCGTTGCGGCTAGCGGGAACTAGTAGGGCGTCGGAGTAACTTTCGATGAGGCTCGAGTGTGATTAGTGAAAAATCGCTGGTTAGTCGTCCAAAGTGGGCAATCCGGAGGTTGTGGAGAATGACGGCTCCATGGTGTGGGGTATCGGACGATGTCTAGCGTTGCAATCGACCGAGGCCCACTTCAACGAGAGCCTCATGGGTTCGAGACACGAAGTGCATATCGCGCCTATGTAGTGCGAAGATGTTAACAGACGCTGGGAAGACTAGCGATCCGTGAATATGTGTGATACTATGCGCTAAGAAAAAACCGGGAGAATGAATTTACCATTTGCAACCCTGTGACACAGCCGGTAGCCGCGGCTTGCTTCTGCTCGCAGGACGGTACCTGGCTCCTCTGTTTGCGGTAAATGCACCGGCATGCTCGTCGGCCGCGCATTCCATCTGCTTTGTCTTGCGCGTGCAAATGTCAAGGTTGCGACACAGGCACGTGAGCAATGTTCTTGTGGTCTGTGTGCTGACCCGCTGAATCCTGGAGAGGTCTGGAGAAAATTTTGGAGTAGTCTCCACAAGAACGCGTCGCTACGAATGAGACGTGAGCCCACAATTCTGACAGTTGGGCCGGGCTCGATGTCGTCCCAAGCTTTGGCGAGGGCTTGGATTGTTGGGACAAGCAGACTCAAGGTGCCCAAGACATCGCCGCGCGTACGCTATCGACTTCGCTGGTCTCGTCGAGGCTTGCCGCCGACGTCGTTCACTGGCTAAGGCGGCACTGCGATGAGCTTCCTACATCCTCTGGACGTGCCGGGTACCTCTCTCCAGATAGATTGCGATCGTGATTCTGGCGGAGATTCGAATGAGCTGACATTTATAGGAAGGAAACAACGGGAAGGACCTTTGGCGGCATTACAATGGCGCCTTGCTCCCTGCCTCGGTGGTCGCGCCAACATGTGCCGGGATGCAGGCGGCTGGCGGGAAGGGTAACTTGTGCGCCGATCGGAGCTGGGCAGCGTCAGCTTAACAAGCCGCAAACCTCGATCGCACCAAGCACATGCAGCTTGAAGCCTTGCACTGATCACGGGGCACCGAGTACGGGATACCTGCCGCACTACTGTGACGGCAATTGCGCCTCGTGCGCCGTGCGACGCAAGATACACCGGAAAACATGTAAGGGTGAGCTGGCGGCGCCCTTCACCAACCTCGAGTATAGAGCGGGCTGGCGTGACGGTTGCTCGGAAGACAGCCGAGCAATGTAACGCGGTGGCTTGAGCTAGGGGAATCACATGGGGTCGAGAATGCGGAGGGTGAGGTCATAGACGTCGGCCTACGCGAAGCTTTGGGGTGAGGGCCAAGCCCCAGGACTTAAGCGTGGCTAAGATAGCCGCAGCACGCTTGGGCAGGCTTACTCCATGGGGAGAGCTGGAGTGGGGATCCTCATGAACGATAGCACTAGCGCGTGAAACCCCCTCCTCCAAGGCTGTTTCTCAATGGCTGACGCGAGCCAGGATCCCGGGGTGCTCGACCGTCGCGACGGTGGTGCCAGTGAAAGAGAATCTGGAAAAACCTAGGTGCCTGTCGGAGCCTCTTACAGCTGGCGTGCGCCGTTGAGGCTCCACTTTTAGGCCTCCCTCACTCTCCGAACTCCCCCAGGTATAAGATCGGCTGCTCATCTCCCCCGCCATTTCTCTCTACCTCCACTGCTCTCCGCAACTCCTTGCAACTTGTCTTTACTAACTTCGGAGCCTGCGAGACATCCACTCCACCATGGACGCAAAGGACACCGGCGTCAGCCACATCCCTGACAAGGAAGTAGCCTACTCTGCTGAGAAGGAAGCTGCCTATGACCCGGCCAACGAGAAGGAGGCGCACTACACGCCCGCCGCGGAGCACATCGCTGATACAAGCGCGCGCCGCGAATCTGTCGCCCACAACATCATCGAGAACCCTCTAACCCGCCAGTCAAAGGCCGAGTGCGTCAGCGCTGCTGAGCGATGGGCTGCCACCCATGGTTTGGACGAGCACGCCGCCCTCTTCGGGAAGGCCGCCCTTATCGCGCGTGATCCTGAGCGCTTCGAAATGCTCACCGACCTTACCCAGGAAGAGCGCGATGCTCTTATCTACGAGCGCGACCACAAGTGGTTCGGTTCCACCATGATGTGGTACTCGATTGGTCTGTGTGCCATCGGCGCCGCCACTCAGGGCTGGGACCAGACTGGATCCAACGGAGCCAACTTGTCCTTCCCTGAGGAATTCGGTCTTCTCGGATCGGACAGGGGCGAATGGATCATCGGACTTATCAACTCCATCATCTTCTTGACTGCTGGTCTTATCGGCGCTTTCATCGTCGACCCCCTCAACAAGTATCTCGGTCGTCGTGGAGAAATCTTCGTAACCGCCATCTGCCTGACTGCCACCCCCATCGGTTCCGCATGTGCGCAATCATGGCAAGGGCTCTTTGCGGCGCGCTTCATCATGGGAATTGGAATCGGCGCAAAGAACGCCACTGTCCCGATCTACTCTGCTGAGATTGCGCCTCACCGAATTCGCGGTGCCCTAGTCATGTTCTGGCAGTTGTGGGTTGTCATTGGTAGGTTGTACCATCCGCGTTGTCGACGATATGTTATTAACTCCTATTCACAGGTATCTTCCTCGGTTTCTGCGCCAATGTCATCGTCAAGGATACTGGAGCTATCTCATGGCGTCTACAACTCGGTTCTGCTTTCATCCCATCCTTTATCCTCATGGTTGGCATCTTCTTTTGCCCGGAGTAAGTGAAATTCATCACGGTCTACCATATCAAGCATATACTAACAAACGCTTTTAGGTCTCCTCGTTGGTTGATGAAGCATGGCCACATTGCCAAAGGTTACCGATCAATGGCCAGACTGCGCGCACACCCCATCATTGCTGCTCGCGACTACTACTACTCATACGTCATCTATGAGACTGAGCTAGCCGTTGCACGTGGAGCTGGCTACTTCGACCGCATGTGGGACTGCTTCCGCGTGCCTCGAATTAGGCGTGCCAATTACGGTGCTTCGACTGTCATGATTGCCCAGCAGATGTGTGGTATCAACATTATCTCATTCTACAGCTCGACCATTTTCACCCAGGTTGGCTTTACCGATGACCAGGCTTTATACGCCTCTCTGGGTTACGGAGCTCTTCAGGTCGTCTCCACGATTCCTACTCTGTTCCTCATCGACACCAAGGGACGAAGGACCCTCTGCATGTGGGCAAGTACTTCCTGACCTTTGCGAGACTGATCTTGTACTGACTGTGTGCTAGACCTTCCCCTTCATGTGCATCTTCCTACTGGCTGGCGGTTTATCCCTCCTTAACGACAGTGGTAGTCAAGCCTCTCAACTCGGACCGATCGTCTTGTTCATCTACCTCTTCACGATCATGTACTCGCTCGGAGAAGGACCAGTTGCGTTCCAGTACTCTGCCGAGGTTTTCCCTACCATCCAGCGTGAGCAGGGCATGGCTTGGGCTGTCTGCATCAACAACACCTTCGCCGGAATCTTGTCGCTCACCTTCCCTCGCATGGTTTCGGTCATGACGCAGACAGGCGCCTTTGGATTCTACGCTGGTCTCAACCTAATCGCCTGGTTCATGATCTTCTGTTTCGTCCGCGAGACCAAGCAGCTTACGCTTGAAGAATTGGACCAGGTCTTCAGTGTGCCCACCAAGCAATACCTCCACTACGAGATCACCCAGTCGGTGCCTTACTTCATCAACAAGACGGTCCTCCGCCGAAATGTGCCCAAGCCCCCTCCGATTATCGAGAAAGGCTACGCTACTGGCGCTGTCCCGACTGCGTAGATTCATATCCAAACCAGCCAGATGATTTGAAGTTCCGCTTCTACAGGACGCAGGATTATGTAATGCATTCGTTAGTGTAAATAGCACGCGAAGCTCTCTGAGCAAATAATGAATACCCCAGTGTGAGTTGCTCACACGCTTGACTTGATTTAATGTGTAATGTTCCCGTATGATTGAGTCTATGTGTGCTTGATCGAGTTCCATTCTGGAGTATAGCCTAATTGTTCGATGGAACGCGATGCACTCCCTAATACATCATGATCTGTTCCACGTAGACGGTTCGCCTTAAGTAGTCTGCTTGTCACACCCGAACATCGCTATACGCTAGAGATAGCTCCTCCCGTGCATGTCTACCGAAAGTGGGGCCTCACATGGGAAGCTTCAGCATTGGCCACCCCTGCCGATCTTAGCTAGTGCGGAGAGACGGATCTCGCGACTTGTCACCTCTGCAACTCCTCGTACACCATCCATGCTCCATTCGCGACCTTAGGATTTAGATTATCGGCTGTCATCATGTCTCTCATCGAATTCAGAGCTCACACGGTATCGCAGACCGAGCGGGTGTTGGGTGGAAGAAACGTTATGACGATCGGATGACACCTTGAAATGGAAGGACCAACCGGTGATTGATCGTTCACAAACGCACTATCGGCCTTGCAGTCCTGCTTCAGACTTAGAAGACGTGATGCGACAGAGCGGACATACTCCTTCTCGTCAGCCATCATCTTCAATAACTCACGCTGCAATCGTTGGCCCAAGCTCAGACTCCAGCTACAACAAAGACGATGAACAAAGTCTTGTTCCTCGCGACAAGTAACAAAACTACAAAGATACGCGAGCGATACCGGAGGTCCGAGGTTATACAGCTCCCCACGGCATGGTCGTGGTTGCAACAAGGGACCTGGATGCCGAGAGAAACGGAAACCGTGGATCCAGTGTGACACTTCACACCCGAGAACGTGTTACGAGCAGTACTTTTATGACGGTACCCGAGCGATAGAGTCACGACGCACGGCTTCCCGCCGTGCACGATCACATGGCACAACGTACGAAGAGCAGCTGGTGGACATGGCATATCAACGTGGGCTTGACTCCTCGAGAGTTGAACGCGGGCTGACTGGTGCCTATATGCGTCGACTGTGAGTCCTTGGAGATGAGTGAACGAGACTATGAGTCAATCGGGTGGTATAAAAGCAGAAGAGCAGGAGATTTGTGTCGTTCAACATCACAACGTGAAAGTCGTTCATATACACACGTACCACAACCTGTCGTCGGAAGTTTCAGTATAAAATTCACAGTATTACACCTACATCGAGGCAACGCGAAGATGGCTTGGCAACCAAACTGGAATGTCGAAGAAATGAACGCTTTGGTGGAACGGGTCGGGGAACTCAAAAATGAATTAGATTCCGAGATCACGCGTCACGGCGATACACCAAAGTGGGAATACCCAGTGAGGACGATGGAGATGATTCGACAGATGCGTGACCTCCGCGAAGCACACCAAAAGCTTCTCCGTAACGATCTTGCGAAGCTCTTGGAATGGCCGAGTGCACTTATGAGCCATCCTGCCTACTTTTACGAGTCCAGCCCTGGGACAGAGAACTTCCCACGCAGCGAGAATTGGTTCGAACAGATCGGCTTCCACCAATATCACACCACATATAGTTTCTCGAACCGTTGGGATAGGGCGAAATTTGACGTTGCATTTTACGTCCCTGACGATTTGAAAGCTGGAGCCAATGTCCCCGTCATGTGGTTTTTTCACGGGGGAGGGTTTGTATGAGACACTGACTACGTGGAGTCTACTGTGAAACATCGCTAACAAAAGACAGTGCACGGGTGCAAACGACCACATACCTTGGTTTGGAGCGCCCAGTATGTTACACGCTCGGAAGCGAGGAGCGATCATCATTGCTCCTGACTACCCTCTTGGCCCTGAAGGCAACTACGCGGACATTTGTGACTCTATCCGCGACTTTTTGAGATGGTACAAAGAAGATGGATACTTCAAAGACGAGAAGGACGACTCCGAGAGCAATAGCTGGCAGGAGCGGATCATCAAGAAGATCAACAAGAAAGACATCACCATCGACAAAGATCGCGTGTTCGTCGAAGGTGAGAGCGCTGGCGGCCATGCAGCAGTCATGGCATTGTGGATCAACGCCGCCAACGACGGGCCGAAGCTGAGCGTCAAGTCTTGCTTACTGCGTTACCCTATGTTAGTTCATTACGCGCGAGACTTCCCTCCCGAAAACGAAAACAATGGCATGGTCATTTACATGGGCGAAAAGTTTACGCAAACGGATGTCACCCAACGCGCCAAAGACATTGTGGCTGCGATCAACGAGCTAGAGAAATGGGGATTAGTTCCTACACGCAGCAAAGGGTACGCTCCGCAGAACATGTCAGCTACCTTACTCTTATCCATCACCAAGCTATGGCAGTCAGTTTTCCAGCGTAAGCACGGTGAGAAGATTGGAGGGCCTGTCGACCCTACGAACCCCGACTACATGGACTGCCTCGAACGAGTCGATCGATGCGTGGACACCGTCGACCACGACTATCTCCCACCAATCGCCATGTATCACGGTTCAAAAGATCCCAATTGTCCCATCAAATACACGGAAGAGTTCCAGCAGATCCTCTTGAATAAGTACCCCGTATATCGACGACAGGGTGCCTTATCTCTACGTGAGGTCAGTTATCTCAATTGGAAGTATTCATTCATGAAGGTGGGAGAAGGGAGTTCAAAGAAAAGAGAGTTGGCCTGGCAGCCGATGGACGAAGTCGGGCATGCTTTTGATTACGATTTGGATACGGATCGGGAAGAGTTCTTGAAAGCTACATATGAAGATATCGACAAGGTCTGGCTGTCTAAGGATTGAGCCTCGCGGTGGACTGGGCTATAAGTCCTACGGATAGTGAGGAAGGAGATAGCTGAATCTCTAGATATATACACCACTTTCATTGACGGATGTTGGCATGTGCAGGTTCAGTCATTGCATTATCATACTAGAATGAAGCTCTAGGAGCCAAATGTTACTCGGTCTGCTTTTGCTGGCTCTGGAATCATGAATTAGAGGCACACCATGCTTGACCTTTGGTAAAGCCATCCCCTACGTATTCCAGAGGTTTGCCACATCTTGCAACTCAGGTTATACCACAGTGTACAAGTTGCTACCGTCTGCACCACTGAACCAGCTGTTGGAAAGAATCTTCATCCAGACGCCCATTGCCCTCTTTCTTCCCGCACTAACCATACAAGGTCCCCTTAGTACGCTCACTAAACTGCGTCTCGTTATGAAGATGCTGAGTAACATCCATAGTAGTAGTGATATGCTCCCGACTAAGCTTCTCCTCCTTGCGACTAGCCAACAACCTAGCGATCTTGAGGATATTCTTAATCTGCCGTCCATTCAGATCCATACGCGCCAGCTCCGTAAGTTCAGCCTTGGAAATAGTGTGTTCCTGCGACGACGAATCGAGGAAGTTCTTCCAGACCGTCTTGCGCGAGTCGATCGTGAGACCGGGGTAGTCGAGCGAGATGTGGATGCGCGATTGGAAAGCTGGGTCGAAGGTCTGGACGCGGTTGGTCGTGAGGAACATGGTGCCTTCGTAGTACTCTAGGACGCGAAGGAAGATAGAGACGAGTTTGTTGCGCTCGAGCTCGTGGAGAGAGCGCTGCTCCAGGAAGACGTCAGCTTCGTCGAGGAGGAGGACCGCGTTCCAGCGGCTACACATCTCAAGGATGTCTTGCAACTTGGTCTCTACCTTCCTAGGATCGAAGCCAAGATCGCCGGCGCTCATCATGTAGAGAGGCACTTTCATTTCTTCGGCGACTGACTCGCTAGTGAGAGTCTTACCCACGCCGGGTGGGCCACAGAGTAGGATAATCATGCCTTTGCCTTTACCTTCAATCACGTCGTCAAACGTATCGCGGAACTTCCGTTGAGACTCCGTGAAGCCTAAGATGAGCTCTTTCTGGTTCTTTGGGAGCACCAACCTATCGAAAGCGTCGTCTTGCCACTCAATGTCTTTAACGCAGTTTACGAAGAAGTTCAGCCAAAGCTTGTTCTTCAAGCTGTAACCACGAAGGAGAGGTGTGCAGATGAGCTTCTGTTCAGTTGTCAAGGGCACGTGTTTGGCTGCATCGTCCTCGTCGGCAAATGCGCCATCTAATGGCATGCCACTGTCGTCTTCATCTTCGAACTCATCCTGGCCCTCGTCAATTTCTTCCTCGTCGTACTGACCCGGAATAGGAGGAAGAGGTGGCGGGCCCGGATCTTTCTGGTTCAGTGGCGTTACAAAGACCGAATGAGTAGGGTCGAAACGGTTCCAGCCGTAGGTATCGATGATAATCCGACCCTTCACGTTGTACTTGTCTTTGTTCCCGAACCCACCCTGCCTCCATGCGACACCCTGGTATGCCCTATAGTTCGGCCCAGCGAGAGTTTCCGCTTTGACACCCCGTTCGATGAGGCGAGTGCGGATAGCTTCGCCCTCGGGATGGAACTCGATCGGGTACACACGCAGATTGGTGATAGCGCGTGTGCCGGTATAGGCGGCGATAGAAAGGTTGATCTTGTTGGAACCAAATTTGGCGCCATCCCAATCAACATACTTACACGTCAGCCAAAAGCAGGGTGCACCCTTGCAATCCTGTCCATAACGCGTCTCGACTAGAATCATGGCCGTCTCTTGACCGTCCTGTCGGGCAAAAACAGTCGCCCCAGGTTGATACAGCGTCCAGAGATGTTCGTATGTCATAACCTTCTTGTTCTTCATGTCTTGTGATGTATCAATCATGCTCTTGAATTCCGTGGTGAGAGTCTCTTGGAGCAACTCAGCGTGGGCTTTGGTTGTGCGCTTGTCCTCTGTCTCCTCGCCAAGCTTGGCGATAGCGTCCTGCAACTCAGTCCATCGATGAATTAGTGGCTCAAACTTGCCTTGAAACTCAAGACGATTGAGGCCGACAGTGACACCAGGGTAGTTCTTCAGTACACCAGCGAGCAGCTTCTTCAGCAGCGGGCTCTGAACGACAATGGAGTGAATAGACAATACTCGTCGGGGATCGTTGTAGACCTTGACGTTTCGCACGAGTAACGCCCACTTTGCGGTCTCGTCGTTTTCGACGGCTTCCCCAAGGTCTTCGGGGATCTCTTCTTGCCACTGAAAGCGGCCCTTTTTGTCTTCCTTTCCGGAGTACAAGTGCTTTAGGCCGTTCTTCATTCCTGGTTTGTAGAGCTCCTCGTCCTCGGGCTTGTCTTCCGGAATGTCACTATCGGTGGCGCCATTTTCAGCCTGCTTTCGACCTTTACCGTTGACAAAAACGTGCTTGACACCGTTGGTCTTGGCTTTTGACTTGTTCTTTGAGGTTGGCTTATCTTCTTCGGATGATGAAGAGGAGACCGATGGAGAGCGAGCCTCGCGCTTAGCCCTATTGCGTTGCTCCAGAGCCATGAGCTGGCGCAAGTAGGCCAACTGCTCAGCGCGCGCGTCTTCTTCAGTGGGCGAGTCGCACATGACGAACTCTCTTCTTGACGAGTGCTGTTGGGATGGAGTGGATTGAGGCGACTTATTCCCGTCGATATCGGCTTGTTTGAAGTACTGCAACGGTATGCTGAGTGGAAGGGAGTATTAAAAGCCTTGAGTGGGTTCAGGAAGAAGTGAGAGCGTAGTGCAGTAAGAGAAGCTGGGAGCCGTGCTAGTCGAGCGTGAGCTGAGGCTTCGTTTCACCGTATTATCGAAACTGTCGAACGATGAAGTGAGTTCCGGGTCACTCCGATTATCAACTCAAGAGATGACCGTAAAGGAAGAAGGTGAGTGGACTGAGAATGAAGCAAGAAGTACCTCGCAAGGCTATATGTAGACAGCCAAGAAAACCGGTCAGCCTTCCTGTTGCCTGGTCGTGCGGCAATACAGTGGAACGTCTGCCTGCTGCAGGTTTGGTAGCGGAAGCCTTGTAGAAGGGCTGCAAAGTTGTCGATTTCAACTACTATGAGTAGCTTTCACATAGATCTTTACTTACTTGGTATTGAAAGGGCGATGCGTTGGCAGTGCCGTCGGGTCACACAAGGCGTCAGCGGTGGCGTCACTGCAGCTCTTGGATGCCACCAAAGCGAGGAAACGTGTTGCACAGCCTCACCCGAGTTGCTCTCTGCCTTCACCATGTTCGAGCCACGTTTGCAATGCATCATGTCCACTACTGCTGATAGCGAACGCGAAGACGCGACTTCGCCTCCGGATCATGGTGTTTGGACGTCTGCTCGGTTGTGTGAGAGACACGGCTTGTATTTGCAAGCCGATGCATGCGATCGCGCTGTCGTGACAGGAATGGGGAGCCGAATGCAAAGGTGAGATGGGATGGAATGGGAGATGGTCTGCGCGTAGCTGGACGCGTCGCGAGGCAGGCAAGAGATGAAGTGTGGCGGTGCGCCTACCCCGCGACCGGCGTCGGCGTTTGAGCCCCACGCGATCTTTTTCATTCCTCCCATGCGCTGGTCCAATATTTTTGCGCGACGACATAACAAGACATCACGTCAAGCCTCAGGCGCTCTGTAGTCCAATATGACTACTCACATCAAGATCCCCTGCTCGTCCGCCAACATCGGCCCCGGCTTTGACGTCATTGGCCTTGCGCTCAACCTCTATCTCGAACTCGAGGTCACAGTCACCAAGAAGGAGAAATCAGAACACTCGCTCAACTGCAAGATCACATATGAAGGAGTAGGCGCCGAAGATGTCCCGCTCATCGCGCAAGACAACCTCATCACACGAACCGCCGTATACGTGCTCCGCTGCCATGGCGTTCGCGACTTCCCTTCGGAAACACACGTTCACGTCAAGAACCCGATACCACTGGGACGCGGACTGGGCTCTTCGGCTGCGGCCATTGTGGGAGGTGTATATCTGGCGAATGAGGTCGGCAACCTTGGGCTATCGAGAGCGCGCATGCTCGACTACTGCCTGATGGAAGAGCGTCACCCCGACAATGTCGCAGCAGCGCTATATGGAGGCTTTGTCGGCACATACCTCAACGAACTGTCGCCCGAAGACACCGAGCGCCTCGAAATTCCCCTCAGCGAAGTCCTCCCGCAACCTGCAGGTGGTGTAGACACGGGTCTGCGGCCACCCGAGCCTCCCCTCAACATCGGACACTACACCAAGTTTGCATGGTCGCCCGCTATCAAGTGCATATGCGTCATCCCACAATTCGAGGTCTCGACGGCAAAGGCGCGTGCGGTACTGCCTGAGTCGTATTCGCGCAAAGATGCCATCTTCAACATGCAGCGACTGGCTGTCCTGACCACCGCACTCGGTCAAGCCACACCAGACCCCGACATGATCTACACAGCTATGCAAGACAAGCTCCACCAACCCTACCGTCGCGGCCTCATCCCCGGTCTTACCGAGATCCTCCAATCCGTTACCCCACAATCACACCCCGGCCTGCTGGGCATCTGTCTCTCAGGCGCCGGTCCGACCATCCTCGCACTCGCGACCGAGAACTTCGACAAGATCGCAGAACATCTGCTACAAGAGTTCAAGAAGGAAGGCATAACATGCGACTGGAAGCTTCTTGAGCCGGCCGAAGAGGGCACCACTGTGGCACGCCCTTCGAGCACCTCACAGCCAGCTGGCGAGGCGCTAACATACGCGTCGTCAGGCGTGAGCATTGACGCGGGTAACCAGCTCGTCAAGCAGATCAAGGCGTTGACTGCTAGCACAAAACGCCCTGGAGCCGATGGCAAGATCGGTGGATTTGGTGGGCTGCTCGACCTGCAAGCAGCTGGCTACACTGAGGCACCCATACTGGTGGGCGCTATCGACGGTATCGGCACAAAGGTCAAGATTGCCTTCGAGATGGGCAAGCACGACACCGTCGGTATCGATCTCGTCGCGATGAACGTGAACGACCTCGTCGTACAAGGCGCCGAGCCTCTGATGTTCCTCGACTACTACGCTTGCAGCAAGCTTGATGTAGAAGGCGCTGCTAAGTTTGTCGAGGGCGTCGCGAACGGCTGCCGGCAGTCTGCATGTGCCCTTGTTGGTGGAGAGACGGCAGAGATGCCCGGTATCTACCAGGCAGGCGAATACGACGCCGGAGGTGCTGCGATCGGTGCGATCAAGCAGGGCGCAACAATCTTACCGGACACAGCATCCATGGCCGAGGGTGACGTACTCATCGGTCTGGCCTCAAGTGGAGTCCACTCCAACGGTTTCTCTCTCGTCCGAAGAATCGTCGAGACACAAGGCATCTCTTACTCAGACGCATGCCCATGGAGCTCAGGCGAGAACCTCGGAACGGCACTCTTGACACCAACTAAGATCTACGTCAAACCGCTACTAGCTGCAACCCGGCGGGGCCTGATCAAGGGTATGGCCCACATAACGGGCGGCGGCCTGCTAGAGAACATTCCTCGCATGTTGCCAAAGACCCTGACCGCGGAGCTCGATGCAAAGAGCTGGCCGCTTCTGGACGTGTTCAAATGGCTCAAGAAGGCAGGTCGCCTGGATAACACGGAACTTGCGAGGACATTCAACACGGGTCTCGGCATGGTGCTCGTTGTTAGCCAAGAGAACGTGAGGACTACCATGAACCGATTGCAAGAGTATGGCGAGAAGGTCTATGTTGTTGGTAGTCTGAAGAAGCGGACAGATGAGGAGTGCATTGTGAACAACATGGACGTTTGGGGTTAGTGCGTCTTATTCTGGTAGTTCATGCACACATGTAGTGGAGAGGGTTACGACATGTAGGCAGCATGTATAGAGGACAGTTAGTCTGGGCCATCGGGAGCCTCCGCGGTTGCAGCGGCATATCAAACAATATATACCCACCTTTTATCGAGCTTCTAGAGCATGTCCAATCCACCTGAGATGCTACTACCATGGTTCTTCCGACAGACACGCGTCTGCTGCCTCAGAGTCCCTTTGTCGTGACTAAGACATTGTGTGACGAAACGAACCGCGGTTCCAGAGAAGAACTTGACGGTCGCGTCATGCATTCGGTTGACGGGTGTCAACAAGTCGACAGGCGACAAGGCGCTAGGCATTGCCCTATTGGGGTCTTTTAGTGAGTATGCATGCATGCCGCGGGTTAATGTGGAGACAAAGGGCTTGCTCGCTGCGAGGACGCGTAAAGTACTTGCTTGCCTTGGATGGTCTGCGCCGTCGTAGGCGCTTGATAAGTCTAGCATGTTCTCTGTATGTGTTTCGTTGGCTACTGCTCAGGCAGCGGCGGAACGCGATACACAACTTTCTTCACCGTCTACCCTAATCTTGAACAAAGATTGTGTGGTGGCATACCAGCGTGGTACAACAAGCCCAGGATCCCGCTCAACCTTCTAGAACGTCTCACCGCTGCGACAACGCCTTAGTTGCCTTTCGGTTACCACATCCGTGGGGTACTGCACATGAGATCCCCGCTACGCCTGGACGGCACTGGCTTTTGTTGCGAGACAGCGGACGCAGATCATGTTGTTGACATGTCGTGTTTGAGTAATAGATTGCGCGAATCGCGAATCCAAAGCTAGAGAAGGGCTTTCAACAGTAACGCAGCTACTATAGTCGCCCGAACGCATGGGATCCATGGGAGGGCAGGAGAAATTGTTGGGAAGCGGCAGTATGACTCTTACCCTACAGCCTACGTGCTCGTTTTCTGGCCTGGCGTGACGTCGACATGTGAATGCACGTCTTCGTTCGGCATCCCTTGGTTCCGATAAGGGTAAATGTCGAGTCTGGCACATGTTTGGCGCCGCAGATAGTTGTGGGTCAGGGATCAAGGCGATACAGCTGCCCGTGGAGGGCGTGCGATAGGATGGGCGAGTGCGGTGCGGGCGTAGGGAGCTGCCGCATCGAGCAGCGTGGTGGTGTATAGGCAACCGAGTGCGAAGGTGCTGCTGAGCGGCTGAAGAGGAGCGGGCGCCATGATGGTGCCAGGCAGTCCTTCGATTCGCCATACGGGGGTTTCGGTGGTGGGCCTAGGGACTGTGTGGCCCTGCGGACCGTTTTCCAGAGGGGCTAACTCAATTTTTTTTGTCGCGCTGGGTACGCTCAGCGACCACGACGACGCCTGAGTCTGACAGCATAGCAGTGCAGCCCGCCAGCCAGCCCTGACCACCTTACCCCAACCCGGCGCCTGCCCTAGCCCTATCTATCGCATCCGCCCTCCCATACAGACCTGACCCGTCCGTCTTATATCTCGACGCCGCCCCCTCCCCTCGTCCCATCATGTCCGCTCCCCACGACACGCCCGCCCACAGCACCCACCCCATCAACACCACCACACCTGCCGACCCCCCACTCAAGGGCGACGCAACCGCCGCGCACCCTCCCCCGCAGAAGCCTGACCCGACCCTCGAGTCCAACAGCCATGGCCCCTCCCAAGGCGGACAGTCCACCCCCCGTCCCTCCGCCGCCGCCGAACTCGCCCGTCTTAAAAGCACGCTGAAGGGCTCCCTTCGCCAGTTCAAAGACTTCCCCGAACCCGGCATCCTCTTCGAAGACATCCTGCCCATCTTCGCTGACCCCGCGCTGCATGAGGGACTGCTGCGCGGTCTCGAGCTGTCCATTGAGAAGCAATTCGGTGCGACAGGCGCCAAGCCAGATGTCGTTGTCGGACTCGATGCGCGCGGCTTCCTGTTCGGGCCCAGCCTTGCGCTGAGACTGGGCGCGAGCTTTGTGCCCGTCAGGAAGAGGGGCAAGCTGCCGGGTCCGTGTGAGACGGCGGAATACAAGAAGGAGTACGGCAGTGATTTCTTCCAGATGCAGGAGGGCGCTGTCAAGAGCGGGCAGAACGTGCTTATTGTGGACGATATTATTGCGACTGGTAAGTATTATCGTCGCATCAGAGGCGAGATGAGATGCTAACAAAAAACAGGTGGCTCCGCAGCCGCAGCTGGTTCTCTGGTGAAGAAGCTAGGCGGAACTATCATGGGATACCTTTTCATTCTCGAACTCGATTTCCTAAAGGGCCGCGACCAGCTCGACGCGCCTGTACACACATTGCTTTCGGGCCAGGAGGAGAAGATGGAGCAGTAGATGTGTAATACTGAGACGGCTGGTAATCTCCATTTTTGGAATCTCGACTCGATACCGTAAACAATACACAATATAGATGGGGCATAGGATTGCATATGGGCGGCGTTGGTGGTTTGTATAGTCACGACATGTCGCGATGAAAGATGCGCGCGAGGATATCACGATAAATACGTCAAAAGTTTCTTTACTGGTGTACGCACTGTCGAATGAGCATTCCCACACTATATCATTGACACTGAACTAAGCCTTGTGCCCTGCGCAGCATCATAGCGCTGCAATCCCCTCCTTCCCCGTCGCGAAACTCGCCGTCCCCAAAAATTCCGCCCTCATTACCCCTCCATCAACAAAAACATCCCTGCACGCTGCTGACACACGGCGCCCGCCCAAGAGGGAAAGTGGGGTAGCTTCCGATGCCGCTCCCAAGCCCCATCTTATGTCACGGATATAGGGCGGACGCGCTCAATTAGGTGTCCACCTAGCCCGATGATAGCCTCGATTTACCTGACGTAGATAAACGGTCCCATGCTGCTGATACGCACGGCGGTACCAAGAGCTCTACGTGCTTCACGACTTACTACTACTACACCCACGAACCTTACGCGACCTGCTATCATTATTTCACGCTGTAGAGCAATTGACATCAAAGGAATACGAAAGATGTCTGATATCAAGAAGATTCACACCGCTAACGCGTGTCCTCGTACGTTCCAATTGATAGCGGACATGCAGATGGAGAGCTTGCTAACAGAGACACAGCTGCGGGACCCTACGTACGATCCTCCTCTATCGATCCCAACGTATCCGAACACCCGCGTTAACGTCACCGTCTAGACACAAGCCATTGTCGCAGGCCCCAATATCTTCGTCTCGGGCCAGATCCCCGCCGATACCAAGGGCAACCTGATCGAGGGCAGCATCGCGGACAAGACCAAGATGTGCTGCGAGAACATCAAGGGTATCCTCACCGAGGCGGGTGTTGCTATGGACAGGATCGTCAAGGTGCGTTTACGAATATATACGGACAAACAGCCGATGGGGTGTTGACTATGAGACCAGGTCAACGTCTTCCTCGACGACATGGCCAACTTTGCCGAGATGAACGGCATGTACGAGCAGTACTTCTCCCACAAGCCTGCGCGCAGCTGCGTCGCGGTCAAGCAGCTGCCCAAGGGTGTGCCGGTGGAGATTGAGTGCATTGCGTATACTGGTATGAGCTCGAAGCTTTGAGGCTTGGAGCTGATGTTGATGATGCATAGGTTGAACGACGATTCGGTGAAGCAAGGCTGCTTTGGAATACCGTGGATCGATTAGGAAGACTACAAGACATATGTTCAATATGAAGCACACTATCGCTCAACTCATCTTGATCACCAAAGAGCCGACCCGTTGCCATGCTCAAAATTACACGCCAGACGGCCTTCTCTTGCTGATCCGACACGAACTTGGATGGCTTAGGAAGGCTGAATCTTAGCGCCGCCACAAAACACCATGCTAATGTATCACGCTCAGCCTCACTGCACTGCCCCGCACTGGCGTCGTTGTCACCACAACATGTTTCTTCTTCGCCCGAAGGCAACAATCATTAAACATTTGATCTCAATTCTTCCAGCTTATTTCCCAAGATTCTATATTAACGGTAACATGCGCCTTTTGCATGCCTCTGGCGACGACTTCGAACTTGTTGAGTTTGTTCGCTACATGCCAACATACGCAATATTATCACATACCTGGGGCGCCGACGAGGATGAAGTCACATTCAAAGACATATACAAGGGCAAGGGCAAAGGCAAAAAGAAATTCGGCTACGCCAAGCTCCAGTTCTGCGCTGCGCAGGCCGCTAGAGACAATCTCGAATTCTTCTGGGTTGATACATGCTGCATAGATAAGAGCAGTAGCGCGGAATTGGCTGAAGCCATCAATTCGATGTTTAAGTGGTATCGGGGTTCGACAGTATGTTATGTATACCTCTCCGATGTACCCAGCACTGGCAAGCGGTATTTACCGAGACACAAGCAACCACCTTTCAATGGCCATCGATGGTTTACACGTGGATGGACGCTTCAGGAGCTTCTAGCACCAAGGAGCGTTGTCTTCTTCTCCATGGACGGCACAAGAATTGGAGACAGGTCTTCCCTTGCAAAAGAAATTGCACGTGAGACGAGCATTCCTGTAGCCGCATTGGAAAATGGTCCAGACTTTATGCTCAAATATCCTGTTGAAGAGCGCATGAACTGGGCAGAGCATCGACAAACGAAAAGGGAGGAAGATGCCGCGTACTGTCTTCTTGGCATATTCGAAGTTCAGATGCCGCTCATATACGGCGAAGGCAAAGAGAAAGCTTTTGGTCGCCTAAAAAAGGAGATCGAAGATCTGTACGGCAGGAGCGACTGGATTGACATCCTCTTGCATCGGTACGGGCTCCCATCTTTGCAGGTAAGCATATGTACCCAAATATATTATCCGGCTTGAGATCTAACCTTACTCCCAGATCCCTTGGGCTTATATAGGCCACGATGTTGTTGGAGCTGTGAAGATTTTCATCCTTCTCTGTACAATCGTCATCCTTGCCTTCGCGATCATGTACAACCTTCCACTGACGATATGGTTTCTGGGATGGGCTGTGGCTGCGACACCATTCTATCTCTATCGCTGCACCCGGTGGAACAGGCCAGAACAAATCCTTATTTTCTCTCTAGTAGCAGTCATCTGCTACGTGTTAGGAAAGCTCATCTGTCTACAGAGGGAGCTGCAGAAACTGAACGACATCGTATTCGATAACGCAATGATGCAAGGCATAGACCAGCAAAGCATACACGTGCGAGAGATCATGCGGCGCATGCAGAAGGGGGTCATATAGGCCGCTAACCTCTACGCTTTCCTCAGTGTAGTTGGAATGGATTGAGCTCATTAGGGGCAACAAGTCTGCAGCATATACAGGTTCGCTCACAACTGGAGTCTGTCAATTTTGAATCTCGGTAGCCTTTGTGATTGCTTTGCAAAGACTGAACATACCATGATCAACTATTCGGGAGCGATTCCATTCGTGCCGCCGAGGTGATCACTTCGTCGCCCATCAACACTTCTGGGCGACAAGCCCCACGCTATCTACCTTCTGTCTGGGATCAGCTGTGGACGTGTTACAATTGGCCATTACTACGAGCGGGTAAGCAGCGAAAGTGTCCAAGCTTCTTGGGATCGGGAAGGATGTCTGGGGTAAATTTCCGGGTAAAGCTATGTGACGTACATTACCGCATCGGGGGTTGTGCTCAGCAAGCACTATGGGGCATCAGGGTACATTCATAAGATGCATTCGTTCCTTGAAAGCATGTGGAAAGCTCTCATAACTCCATCCGGCGACGTACCATTGTAAACATGCGGGCCCTAATCTTAGCGGTTGCCGCGCTACAACTCGCACTCCAACATGCATCTGCGACAGTAGGCGTCCTCGATATCGACAACCTACTGCAACCAGACCTGCAACAAAACTTACACACGCCCAGCGAAGATCATCCTCATGCGCCATGGTCTCACAAACCGTACTGCGTAACTAGCACCTACCTCCCCACCCTTGGCCAAAAGTACTGCGTCTACACATCCAACACGACAGGCCCACACGGCCTCTCCCTGATCTTCCCTCCAAAATCCGCCCATCTAGCATCGGAATATCTCGACGACAACCCGCTCGATAATTTCCTCGCTCAGAAAGACGCTGAGCGCTTGTACCTAGGCGGCCAACCATGGAAAATCGTCGATATACCCGGAAAAGCGAAAGGCGTCGTAGCTACGCGTAGGATCAAGATGTACGAGACGTTCATGGTTGATCAAGCCGCCGTTGTCGTGGATATGGGAGCGGAGAAAGCTTTAACTGAGGCTGAGAATAAGAAGTTGATGAAGAGGGCTGTAAATCAGTTGCTTGTTCCTGCGATGATTAGGGATATGAGTTCTGCGCATGCGGGGAAGAGCCATGGGGGTGAAAATAATGGAGATGACGAAGAGGGAGGGAGTTTAGAGGAAGCCATCATGAAGACGAACGCGTATGGCAGCACAGTTGCGGAGGTTAGCTCGAGGGCGCTGTATCCGCTGATCTCGGTAGGTCGCGACGCAGTCTAAATAGCAAGGTGTAACTGACTATATCAGCGCATTAATCATGCATGCAACCCAAACTCCTTCGTCCTCTTCTCCCGCGCGGGCGTCTCAATGGCCATAAAAGCCTATCGTGACATTGAGGCCGGCGAAGAGATCACCGTCTCTTGTAATCTCCACCCTCTTCCTTCCTGTTCTTGTGCTAACGCCACCTAGACCTCCTCCTGGGCATCCCATTCCAGAAACGCCAGTCTCTGATAAAACGCTGGGGTTTCAAATGCACATGCAGCCTGTGTAGTCTCCCCACCGACGAACGCCAAGCCTCCGATCTTCGCCGCACAATGATCGCGCAGGCCGAGGAAAAGATTATGGAGCTGGCAAAGGCCTACAAACTCGATGAAGCCATAGTTCTCGCGGAGGAGTCCGTCGAACTGATCAAAGAAGAAGGGGTCTGGTCGATGTTGACCGATGAGTATGCCATGTTGGCCATGCTGTGGTTGGAGAAGGGCGACGGAGAAAAGGCGGAAGCGTATGGCGAGAAGACGCATAGGCTGTTGTCCGATCTGGGGTTTTTAGGTATTGGAGAAGAAAGGGAGGCGTGGAAACTAGAGACCCTCTTGAAGAATATCGGAGGTTTGGGAGGGATGGGTCAGCTTTGGAAGAAGGGCCCTTTGAGGGGGTAAGTTGGACGGTGAATGGAATAGAATGGTTGTTTGGAATCAAGGTGTCAGGTAGGGTGACAAGGGGAAGTTTTCTCCGTGTCTAGACCTGGGAAAACTAAACGCTTCCGTACTTCCTTCTGTAATGACCTGTTGTGTCGATCGGTCCTGATCCGCCCTTCTCCACCCAGCCATCCACCACGGCTAGTCTTCCTTGCGTAGGTGGCACCGGGTTCTCGCCGCGTTCAACCATGGGATGATGGAGACCTACCTTCTGCGACAAAGCGACATGTATCTCATCTGGCGACTTGTTTGCCCATGCTCTCGTGCTCAGATACGAAAGGGGATATAGCGGCATGTTTTCTTCACGACCCATAAAGTCATTGACGAGAGGTGCAACGCGCGACATGATAATGTCAAGATCTTGACGGATTTGCTGGCAGAATGCATCGAGTGGTAGATCATTGACGTCGTGCCCGAAAGGGTCTTCGATCTCACGTCCGATGAAAGCGATACCCAGGATGATGTACGCTGCGACCACACATGCAGGGATGGTGATCCAACCCAAGCTGTTGTAGCATTGGAATGGCAGTAACAAAATGTACAGCCAAGTGACCTGGGATATGGCGATGGAGTACGCAAGTGGAAGCGGTGTGTTCAGGATTCTCTCCGTGCCACACGACACTTCGTCCATGATTGTCAGCGAGTCCAAAGTCTGGGTTTGATAGATACTGTAGTCTCTCAACGTGCCGTTGTCGTATAGAACTTTCATGTACGCAGAGAGGTGAGATAAAATCTCAAGGGGTAGGTCCCCGAGAGGCACGCGCGATTGCTTGACGTGTTTGCGTGGGTTGGGCGTCGCCATGGGCATGCCGAGTAACTGACAAGTCCGCCTGAAAGCGCTCGGAGGGTCGGGCGCAGGCATATCCGCTGCTTGCGCAAAGGTATCCAAATGACCGACCAGGTGCTTCAGATCCTCGTAATGCGTTCCTGGCTCAAACCGCAACTTGTGCTTCACTGCGACAGCGAAAGCCACGATCAGGTTCAGGCAGCTGACCTTGCCGAGCAGATCTTGCTTCCCCAACCCCGCATCAGCACCATGTCTCTCTTCAGCGTGTATCCATATCAGACGAGCCAAGATGTGCGATGCGAGTCGGAGGCGCCCCCAAAGCTGTCGACCTTGGAAGTAGCGGTCCATCGAGGTAGAACTGCGGACGCTGAGGGCCAGACTGACGACAAAGCCTAGTACGGTGATGAAGACTTGGTCGGTTCCAACTGCGTCATGTTAGGATAGGGCTTTGTAGTATAGGAAGGAGAGGATATGGCTTACGGTCATATACAAGCTTCGAGATGCAAGTAACGGCGGTGGCCCACCCGCCTACCAGCAAAACGGGTATAACAAGCTTGGGTGTGATGCTGCCGTGAAGTCGCAGCATCATCGGAAATTTCGAGTGATGGCTGAGGTCGCGCGGCCCCATCTACCGTCCTTAGCAAGTTGCGCGTCCATATACTGCTTGATCCTCTGCAAGTAACATACGAAGTATCCATCGCGAGACGATCTCGGCATGTTTATTCACTCGTGTGAATAGGAGAGATATGAATTGCGGCGATGCGTGATTAGACGAGTGTCGAGGAAGCTTAGGTGAGATAGGATAGGATCTGTGTGGGAGTGTAGCGACATGGCTGTGCGATCGTTTCGACGACGTTGTGGCAGTCGTCTGTAGGAGTAGCAGGTACAATGTGTGGCGCAAAGCTACTTGCCCTTTCCTTCTGTTACATGAAGGTAGCGCCTACCTGCAGATGAAGTAAGTTCGGTGGCATCGGCGTCTTCTTCGAAGTCTGCAAAAAACATTCGTCGCTCGCACAGAAGCAGACGCGTCATGTCATAGGTGGTGATGGGGCTGGCAATGTATGTATGAGTCTGTCCTAGTTGCGGAATTCCGATTTCTCAGTGTCGGTTAGAAGACGCCGTATAACAGCGGCATCATACCCGTGACTGCTGCTGGCATGGCATATGCGCAGCGAGACAGTGAGGAAGTTGTGAGAGGCGTCGCTGGTGGATGGCACGCGTTCCGCTTGCGGTCCCACTTAATGACGTCACGCGCACCGAAGCTCGCGTCAAACTTCGCGCCGACGAACCTCAACTACCCAGATGCTACTCACTAGACGCACCACATCTTCACGATACTCTTACTTCCAACGGAATCGCAGCAAGCGGATTCACAACTGCGATTTATGCTCATGATCCGTAACGAGCCGGCGCGGCACAATCTTGTTATGTACAGCCAGACACATCGGCCGTCAGCCTCAAAAGTTGTATTGCGTCACTGATACTAGGCATAGGACCCAGCCAAAGCGCCCAAGTCTGCAGGGACAAAAAATCTATTTTCAAAAGTATCAAGCCCTCTTTACCACCCGCTCCAGGGGAGAACGCTGTGCACCAAACCTGGTTGCGACGAGCGGAAATCTGAACTTACAAAGGGTCAACCACACATACCATGAGAGAAGCAAAGCAAATATGACCGCACTGAGCATACCATACGCCTTCCCTCACCTGAGGGATCGCGAAATCTCGAACCGAATCAACACCGCACCTCAAAGGTCACTGCGTCTAGGTCCTCCGGGTGCGGCTTTTCTGCGGCTTTTCTACATCGAACGCGTCCTTAGAATCGGAGCGAGTACGCTTGCGACTACTTGCCGGTGTAGGCGCCACTACGATGGTCAGTGAAGTTCATGGTGCCTGATGGGTGACCTACGAAGCGGCTTTTTCTTCCCGGGCTTCTTGACAAGCCGGTCTTCGCGCTTTCGGCCAGCAGTAAGGTCTTTCTGACGCTCGTCGTTCTGTTGGCGGTTGCTCGAGCTGATCTGGAGAAGAGTATCCGGGCATAACACATACTCCTCGACACATCCTCCACGCAAAAGCTTGTCGACACGGCTCTTGTATGACTTCAACACTCCGACAAGTTTCGAGATACGCTCCTCGAACGTGAGATTCCGTGATTTCTCGCAGCGATCGATCATGACAGGATCCAGGATCGAAACGAACCCTGCGCCTTCTCGATAGATGCGTTCAGTTGTTTCCTTGTTCATGTTAGCGCCTGTAATTGCGTGTGCTATAGCGAAACTGACCAAGATATCCCAACAGAGACGCTCTTTCACCCAAGGTTTGTATACTGTATTGGTAGCGATGTTCTGCTTGGGTTTTGTCTCGCCGGCGTTTCCAACCCTGTCTTCGCCCGATTCTTCTACACTCTCTGCCAGCCAGCGTTTCTTGAGCATGGGGCTCGACATCTTGTCCTGGATGTCACTGGTGTCTTGAATGGCTGTGAAGAGCTTACGAACAACTGCTATCCGTTCTTCTTTGGTGTTTGGGAGGGTCTCATCCTTACGAGGTGGCCAGTCCAGTCCCCGAGCTTTCTGGCGGGCTTCAGTGACTTCGGTGAAGTACAAGCCGAACGAGTTCAGTGGCAGTGCTTGTCGCTTGTTCTTCTTCGCATCTACGTTGGTCTTCATCTTTGTCTTGTGAAGCGAATCACGGCGCTTCGTTCCGTTCACCGCAGCGGGAGGTTTCTCTTGCTCTTCGATTTCCAAAATCCTACTCTTAGTCTTCGTCTCTACCTTTCTGGACTGAACTGGACTGTAGACCACGGACGTCTCTTCGGATAGTCGACTCGCACTACTTCGCGGAATATACTCTTTCCACCGGCGATTGTTGTTGTCGCAGTGACCAGCAGAGACTGCGTCTTCGAGCTGCGATTGGCGGAGTGTTGAGGCCATCAAGACTGCACCTTCGGGCGAAGCGTGAAAGGATCGTGGAAGCCCTGTAAGAGGAGGATACTCATGGAAATTCTTGAAAGCAGACTCTTGGCCGTTGTCGTCGTATGACCAGGTCTCGCTGCCCCAATGAGCTGGGTATGGTTGACGATGATATGGTCCGTGCGTTGTCCCGATAGTGCCAGTCTGACCAAGCCACATCGGTGGCGGGCATATAATGCGTTCTGACGAGCCTGGAAAATACTGGGGCCTCTGATGCTGCTGGATTAGAGCGACCTGCGACGCTTCCCACTCATGGGCATGGTGGTCTGGAAGCATCATCCGCGCATCGCCATGATCAATGCCGAACACGTCCCATTCGCCTTGATCGTGGGTGTGATATATACTTGGAGTCTGACTGGATGTGGCAACATCCGTCTGCGACGATGTTGTCACCGAGGACGAAGCGGTTGAAGGAAGCATTTCAACAGCGATGTAAGTGGTGGCTGGTAGTGAATTGGGTCGGCGATATCAATATCGGACTTGTTCACGATGTGGAAATAAAGGATTAAATCAAAGAGTGCGTATATAGAAGTAGTTGTGTTGTCTTATTTGCGACTGCCCGCTGACTAGTACAGGTCGGGTTGGCGCTCTGACCAGTGTGATGTAAGAAAGAGGTACACTGAGCACGACCGCGGCAATGACGAGCACCGCATCGCTGCGTCTGGAGAGCGACCCAGGACTATATTGAATTGAAGAAATTGCGGAAGCTCGATGTATCGACAGCTTCACGTATCTTTACACTGCTCTACAGCCTGCTATATATGTCGTTCCAGCGAAACGACGGCCTGTAGAGAATATCAGGTGGGTGTAAAGACTCTTGCCCCCGTGCTTGAGAAACCTGTGGCCCCTGACTTCTCCGCAAATGGTCACCGGGGCACTGACGTAAAGCCACGTGGGAAATTTCCGATCAATGATGTTGTTCGATGTGACAATTTCGATATAGTCACATTGATAGCTCTAAGCATTGCAACCACTGAACGCTAAGGTAGACACCAAATCGCACTCCTCCAGAACTATATTCGCCTTGCAACCACCGCCGGACATACTTGCCACGATCTTACTGCTACTGCCCAATGCATATTGAGCGCTCTGCTAAGGTCTCTCAACCGTTGGTCCGATCGCTACCCAGAGTTTGGGTGGTAGATCTAGTGCCCATGGTGCTACCTGGGCGGTACCCTTCCTCATACTGGTGCTTCTCAAAACTACTTCCATCCCGAGAATGCACACGGTCATGATAGCGCTTAGCGGGTGGTTCCATCTTGTATCCTCCATCTCCCTCGGCTGGACGCTTCCCGGGCGCTACTGATCCACTGGGTGGCATTTGACGTGGACTAAACGTACCCGACTGGCCACCCGTAGCCATGTAGTTGTTGAAAAGCGACGGCAACATACGTACATGCTTCAAGATTTGTTCCTGCTCCTGAGAAGTTGGATGTCTAAGACCCTGTGGATACGGATGAATCGTGGTCTGCACCGTGCGCTGCTGGTCCGACATAGTCGACCACTCTTCTTCAAACTGCGGTAGATGGCGGAGGGACGTGAGCGGCAAAGCGACGTACTTGGCCACATCCCTACCCAACATGACGTTATCGGCTGCGACTTTCGAATGCCAGAACAGCCGCGCGAGGTAATGTATCCGCTGTGGAAAAGTAAAATCCATATCCTCCGCGTTCAGCGACTCAAACTCCTCGCATCGGCGGAACGCCAAGCCAGTGACACCCATTCTATGGATTCGCATAGCGTTGCTGACGATGATGTGTGCGGTTACCTCGATGTCTCTCGGATCAGACCATGTACCTTCTTTGGAGAACTTGACGGCGTAGGGATATACGTCCGCCACTGTGTCCCATAGGTTGGAGAGGTTGACGAGTCCGAAACATATCTTTTTGACGTAATACGATTTCTCCGCCTCGTTTTGTGGTACAGCATAGTTGCCAGTAGACGGTCGCCATATGACTTCTTCTAGGTAAGATGCAACAGCCGCGCCGGTGGGTAATTCGAGTTCAGCGAACGACGAGATCGAGTAGGGTGGTGGTAGTGGTTTTGAAGGGTTGGGTACAGGATACTGATTATGCATTTGGTTGAGGTCCAGGTCCAGTTGGGGTAGCCAGGAGTTAGGTTGCGCAGACGTATCGGTCGAAAGATTTTGCTTGTAATCGTCTCGATAGCGGGTATACGGGGTTGCGATCGGGCGTGCGGGTGGGCCTGGGTTAAACGGGCGAGAGTCCGATGGAGTTTCCCAGGGTAGATAGCCTGCCTGTGACGAAGGATATTGGTATCGGCGAGGGTCCATAGGTTGGGAAAAACCAGTGGGTTGTCGGTTAGACACTGTCGGTGTGACCCAGCCTTCCTGCTAATACGTCAGTAGAAGCATTTTTAATCTGATAATGCAGATACTTACAGTCTTTGGTGCCTGATTTACCAAGCTGTGACTCATGGTGGGGAAATACGGTTGACCCATAGGCGAGGACACGTTCCTTGACATTTGAGCCACATTTGGTTGGACGTTGGGGTTGTATGCGAACTGCCGTACGTTAGCTGCTGCAGTATTTGATACCCAAAGAGCAAAAACTTACCACGTCATCGGGCGAGAGGTTCTGATTACGTTGAGGATTTGGGCGACTGCCGCTGAAGTCGTTGTGGCCTTGCGACACAACGGAGTGCGATCTTGTGTTCGAGCGCGATATGTCACCTCGATCACTGGGTGCCTGTGCGGGCTCTCTCTTATTATTGCGTGGGCCGACCATTTCGAATGTCTTGTAATAGTTGAGCCGGTGTTGTCTTAACGATGTATTCCAACGTCTTGATGTGATATACGATTACTCCAGGCTACACGCCAAGGCACGTGCCTAGACGCACGGGGAGATGTGGATAGAGATGGATTAGCGTCATATCAAATGACTGATGTATACGGCTTCGCGCGCTCAGTGAGCTTGATTGCGTGATCTGGAAGCGTTGATGTCATAGCAGGTGATTTCGTCATACGTCACCGGTCCTGCAGAGTTGAGATGAGGAAAGTACATGTATCCATCATGATTGTGACTCCCATTCTCGGAGTACGTCCTGGACATGCGCCACGGCCGTGGCTGCCTGGCCCACGTTGTCATGATGCTTTCACTTTTGCTGGTGCCGATTTCATGATTCAAAAGGTGCGTCTAGGGATTTGCCCGTCGAGTATCGTGAACACAACGGGCCGAACGCTGACCTAAGATCTAATCGAACGAGTAAAGTATGAAATATGGAAGTTATCAAGTGGCGAGTGGCCGTTTGGTCAGCGCAGTACCATGGAAGGACTTGAGTTAAAGTATAGCCACGTCAGACTTGAAATCACCTTTTTCTAATCAAGATGCGAGGTCAACCGGTCAAGGTGAAGAAAGAGATGTGATTCCCATAATCCCTGGATTGCTCCCTTGTGCCAATCTAAGTGCCTTGTGTATAGGTAACTACCATGAGCAACCTCGTCAATCCTCAAAACGCATCATCGCTCAACCGCTCAACCAATTGCAGGAGCGCTCGCATATCCACTTCCTCGCCAAAGACCAAAACGCCGACACCAAAGAAACAAAGTCATGGGTATAATATAATCATGAGAAACATAAATCGGTCATCCGTCGTTGGCTTATCGCTCATCACATGACAGCACACCCCATCTTCTTCTTCCCCTTGGCCTTCTTCTCTCCGACCAACACGCCATCCATTCTCGAGCTGCGCCCGGTACCTCCACTCCCACCGAGTAGATCTCCCGCGCTCTGCGACGCCCTGTGTACGCCACCTTGCTGTGGCCCGTAGTAACTCCCATAAGGATGGTTGTACTGCGCACTTTGATCTGTCCTCGGCGGCGCACTGATAGGAAACCTTTGCCCGGCTGATAATTGTTGGTCTGGAGCAGCCAGTGGTGGCAGAGCGTTCCTTGGTTGACTTGAGTTGTTGACTGGCGGTGCAGGGTAGGGCATGCTCATGCGTGGGCTGCTCATAGGTAGAGGACGGCGCTGGACAGCTATGTTTGGAGCTGAGCCGCGGCGGGAGGCTGGAATACTAGGGACGGGTGGAGCGTAGAGGTCGAGGTTGTCGTGAGGCACACGTTGAGTGCGACCATTTGTGGGACGGCGGGTAGGCATGTGGGAAGCGGTGTTTGGGTATGCGGATTGGGGTTGCGGCAAGGGTACATACGACATTTGTTCCGATGGTGATCGGGTACTTGATCGCCTGCGTCGTATCGAGCCCGAAGATTGGGGGCTTGGGTATGTGGATGGATGTAGCAAAGATGGCCGACGCCCTGGATCTGCAGCTGGAGGTGATGATACGTCAACAGAAGATATCGATTGTTGGCGCTGATGGTAAGGGTGCGACGGAGACATCTGGGAGGGATTGATGGTTGCGGACATGTTTGGTAATGGAGGAACGGGCGGTATCGAAGATGACGAATGAGTATGAGGTAATCGTGGTACAGGGGGCGCATCCGGATGGCTCAGGCTGACACTCTCTGCTGCTGCTGCGGTGGTCGTATATGCTGGTGGAGGTGGCACCCAGTTGTCGGCGTCACTTTCGTGTGGCAGCTCTCGGTGACCGTCTGCACGACGGTACTCCAGGGGTCTGAAAGGCAGAGCGCGCAGATGCCGTCGGTTCGCAGGTGATACCGCCGCGACGGTGGCAGCCCTAGCTAGAGACATCTGAGATCGAGGTTGTTGATTGTCATACGGCGCTTCAAACATTGCCTGTGCCTCTTCCGGTGTCAACTCCTCCGACTCATCGGAAGGCAGTGGTGGTCTTGGCGCATTCCGGTTTGCAGAAGTACGCGCTCGCTGAACAGGCGTGGTTCCAATTCTCGATGGTCTTCGTGCAACAGTGTCGTTCCGATCCTGGGCTCTACGCTGTGCCATGGTCCTGGTTCGTACCAATTCTACTTCGCGATCAAAGTCAATCGAGCCTTCCGGTAGCATCTCGCCTGGACAAAGGGGGTCTAAGTCGTATTCAGTTTTGAGCGGCGTCGGTGGAGCGGTTCCCAGGGGCTTTGTCTTGTCGAAGTCCAGGACTATCAGAACGCCCTTGGACCCCAGTGGCGCCCCAGGCACATCGTTCTCATCAGGTAGTATGCTCGAGTTGCCGACCGCCACAAGTCGCTGCACGTTGGCGTTCAGCCTAACCCATCTGAGCACGCATATCTCTTGCAAAGTGCCTGCGTTGTCGTTCGGGATGGGAATGCAAAAGCAAGGCTGAATCGGAGCATCCACCTTAGTCTTTTCGCTCGGCTTGTACTCCCAACCTGGTACTTCGTAAATCCAGATGTTGGTGGTACCGCGCATCCGCAGGGCCACGGCTGCGAGGTCAGCATTAGGAGAGACCGCAGGCATGGCATCGTCTACAAATTCCGAGCGCGTCCACCGTGCGTGATCCGGCAGAAACATCTTCCTCTGTGTGAAGCGTTGGCATGCAATGTCATAGATGCCCCAGGAGTCCTCCTCAGCGTTGAATGCGAAGAGTTCGTTGAACGTCCCGGTGTCCGCATCTGGAAGTAGAGTAGCCTGGCGTGCTATCCTTGCCGTCTCAGGAAACAGCACCGAGCCAGTCCATGCAGCTTCCGGCGGTTGTGGGATTGGTTCACCCTCTTCTGTAAGCGGACCATCGTAGAGACCTGGTAGAACGAACAACGCCGAGCCATCCGACTTCCTCGCATACCCCGTTATGAGCAGTGTGCGGCCATCGTCCGAGAACTCCAATGCATCACCGGCAGGTCCAGAAAGCGTGCGTCGTGTCGTCTCGGGTACTTCTGGCCCAATGGCAATGACTTCGATGCCGAATTTGTTGCCCGTAATCAAGATGCGCGCATCCGGGGATATGACGATAGAGCTAGCCTCGTGCACCAGCATGATGGTCCGCCTCTTCTTGATCTGGTTATCGCCCTCGCCGTGTATCTCGTACAAATCGACCTGTGAAGGTCTCGATAGCACGGCCAATAGGAAGCCGTCTTCAGTGATGTCGATTGCGACCGGTTTGCGCTTGACCTGCAGTGTCCTTGCCCATAGTCGCGGCAGCTGCACGGTCTTGACCAAGAACAGATTCGACGCCGAGTATACCGCTACATATCCACCTTTTCGTGACACATTCACATCGAAGCTATCAGGGAGCGCGGACGAGGACGCAGTGTTGGAGACGAGTTCGAGGAGGGTAAGGCTGGGGGCCGCATAGGACGGAGTGGCAATGGGCGTATCGTCATTCGGCCGATCGTCATAGGTAGTGGCGGATGTCATAGCCGTCGAGTGGCCTGACGAGGAGATAGTGTCGGTATTAGCAATCGACGACGCAGAGAGCAGCGTGTTCACGTGCTCGTAGCCCTCCGAGTCTTCAGAGCTAACCGATGTGGTGCGCGCGCGCTCGTCGTAGGCCGCCCGTTTTCTTTGAGCGCTGCCCTCATCGCTGGCGAAAGCGACGCCCTTCCCCCTTCCTTCTTTTGTGGGCGCCGTGCTGTCGAGTTGCGCGCCCGGGTTGTGATGGTGTGAAGGGCTCCCCACCATGGTAAGTCTGATCGCGCCTTCCTTGGATGGGTAGATGTGGTAATAGCGGGTGCGAAAAGCGTCAAGTGGGCGTCGGATGCGGCTCCATGAGGGTGCCTGTGGTCGGTTGGGTCGTCTTCAGCTGGGACCTTAGCAAGATGGGAGCATTGCGATTACTACTAAGGCAGCTTGGAATGTAGAGGTGTCTAGCAGGCGCTATTGCTGCAGCCAGACACGCTCGGCCAGGGTCACGTTGCTCGTTCAAGCCTGGCCTAAACCCGATCTGCCGCTACGTCCTAGTCCGCTCTCATGCTCCGATGCTATTAACAGCAACACACGGCGCACACAGTCGCCTCGCCCTTTCGTATCCGATAAATCCTGCAAAATATCTATCTACTCCCTACTGACCGCCATGTCGGCCATGCAACATGCAACACGCCGTGGTCTTCGGTGCGACCCTCACTTGTTTCGCGACACGCTGTCACATTGTCCACCCCGGATAGCGCGATGCGACATTGTGGAGGCTGAGCTGTTCTGGCGGACCGCCTTTGGGGCCTGGCTAACTGAGGCTAACACGCTGGCGAATCGTGGAGAGCTGGTTGCCCTAGCCGCGCCCTGACGAAACGCGAGAAGGCTGGTGGGGCAGACAACTGTCGCTACACCCCCTGCAAGGCCATCCTTGACCTCTCGCTATAGGGCAGTATGTCGCCATCTGGGTGTGGTAGTAGTACAGCGTGTTCTGCCTGCATCAGTGTGCCTTTCGAGGTTACAATCACGGACGCCCAGTTGGGTCCTCCAATCTCCGCTACTTGCGCACTCCGAAAGCGGAGAACAGTCTTACCGCGTATACTTTTTTCCACTGGCTGTGAGATTGTCGCATGCGATACTGCAAGTAGAAACTGATGATGATATAAGATCATACGCCATATACGCCGTGTACATGGCTTACTAGGTAGTAAATCTCGCTCGTGACCTCTTTACCGTCAGCGGCACATCATCGTTGCCGGACGCCACTACGACTGGAATAGCAGATCGCGCATCGTCAGCTTTAGTCGAGCCGGGCAAAACGGCATTGGGAGTACACAATGATACATGTGCACGATAAGATAACTGGAGCCGAGTATACAAAATTCCGCTGTGTGAAGATTGTGGAATCATTGCCTGGCTAGGTTCTTAACACCATGCATGCTTCTCACTTGGAAAGGCATGCCACATGCCCGATAGTCTCCCTAGCCCGGTGTCCTTTGGTGGACACTGGGAAAATACAATGAAGTTGCTCTGTGGCATCCTGATTAGTGTTACCGGTGCCGAGGGTGACTCGCGAGGATTCCGGATCCTATTTTCCCAACTCTTCCTCTGTATATTAAGCATGCACCTATCGTGAGATGGAATATAATCTTATCAGGGTTTAGCGATCCCTTCTACTCGTTTGCGCAGATGGTCGCAAATATAACACAACCCGAGCATCCATATTCGTACGAGATTCGACGTCTGTTCACTAGAACTTTAGCCAGTCGATGTAGTATGAGCCTCCGCAGCTGCCAATGGTCGAAGAACGCTTCATGCTGCATGTGCTGAAGGCCTCGTTTGCTCGTTTGCCGTGAGGGGACATTGCGCGTGCCAATGCTTGTGCGATGTTCGTGATGTGAAGATCCGTCAATGCGGCGACTGAGTGCTGGCCAGGAGAACGCACGCAGCTCCTCAATGCAGCAATGGCAGGCGAGCGTGACTAACAGATTTCTGTGACTTAGGTTAGCGACGTCTTACAGTCGCTTAAGAAGCTCATTATGGGTTGAAGTATCGTAGTCAGCATAGCTTTTGTAGCTTTGTGGCTGGAGTAGAGTTTGAGTGCGCAGGACAACCTCCGGCATGAATAAGGAGGATTGGGAGCCAAGATGAGCGCAATGGTGCCCTCACACCAGTTCGCAAGCGTAATCGCATGGAAGGAAGCCGATTCGGCGCTGCGTGAAGCTCCACGAGATGACAATTCCAGAAGCTGGTTGGCGGCATCGCAGGAAAGCGCCTCGGCTGCACATGCAATTGTCGAGGTAGTGGCTAGTGATCAGGGTTCAAGGCTACCACGATTTCGCCCGCCACCCGCGATCGCGCTCGGAATCGCACCCGTCGCTAACTACATCGTCTTTACCATCATCCCAATTTCGCTCTCGCCAAATTCTCGCCAAACATCTGCGCGGAGAAACTTGAAATGGAATTAGCCTGCACACATGCAGCACTTCGAGACTTATATTCGGCGCCCGACGTCAAGTCTTTAGCCTGATTCAGTACAGATGATCGACCCGAAGAGCGACTAACGGTCGGGGCAATGCGACGTTGCGTCTGAATATTCAAACTCTGACAAAATGATCCAGGGAGGCTACATTTGAGAAGTTGGATCGAATGTTCTTTCGCACACCTTCATGAGAAAGTCGGCCAATCAAGACATGAACGTAGATGTTAAGTTTCACTACCACAGCTAGCACCACTATCTCGACCAACATTGTGGTGTGATCGACATACCCAACTGCGAGCCCCTGCAGCGGAAGAACGATCACCTTCAGCCTACATCGTCAGGCACGCTACCTGTCGTGCCTGAAAATTTTACAACGACATGGACACCGCGTGCTCATTGGTAGAGATGCGCATCTCCGACAATTGGCTTTGAACCCAGCCTGCCACGACATGGCCCTAAAGCATATCGCAAGGTATGATCGGTGTCATTTGGGTCAGCGCTCGAAGTTTATTACTAGAGTATGCCCCACGCCACCATGGGCCATGCTTGTTGAAGCTTGACATACTCCTAATATACGCCGCGGTTCCGCTCGATCCACTGTCTGCCTGAAATGAGCATCAATGCCCCGTCACTCGCAAACGACATGTTGACAGGAGAGTCATGGCAGCATCACCACCACCAGATTCTCACTTGATTCCTGCCCCTCCTTCAGCGGCGGCGCTGAGGAGTGGGAAGTCCATTGCCGGTGCGACACTGGCCCTTCAAAGCATCGCTCTGATCGTCTTTGGAGCGCGCATGTGGTCACGATGGATGCCTGTATACAGAATGCAGTGGGACGATTACACCTGCGCTCTGGCATGGGTAAGTAGCAGCTCATGATCTTTAATATATTCACGATATCGGGTCGACTGACAGGATCAGGTCTTGATAGTGGTTAACACATGTCTTCTCCTTGCCGCCACACCGTATGCTTTCGGGCTCCCACCAGATCAGTTCTTCCTGTCAGACGCGATGGCCGCAACCAAGTTGGCGTCTATCTCACAACCAATCTGGGGGTGGTCTATGGCTTTGGTCAAGATATCCTTCTCCCTGATGCTTCTTCGAATCTCTCCCTCGAAATTCATGAAGCGCTTCCTCTGGTCCATGATCGGTCTGCAGATCATACTTGCAATCTACAACACGCTAGCAACACTACTGCAATGTATACCGGTCGAAAAAGCATGGGATTTACTCGGAACAGTTGAAGGCCATTGCTGGAGCAGGACAGGAGTCAGAATCAGCTCGATAACCGTCTCCGTCATCCATATCCTCACCGACTTCATACTCGCCCTCCTTCCCATATCCTTCCTTCGTGGGATTCAGCGCCCTGTTCGCGAACGCGTTATCGTCGGCGCACTCATGGGACTCGGCTTCTTCACGGGTGTGGCATCGATCTTGAAAATCATCGCTGCCATGAACTTTGGCAAAACGGGCGACCCGATGAACGAAAGCATCATCGTCGGCATGTGGTCCGCTATCGAGGAGCTCGTGGGTTTCATCGTCATCTGCATACCGACTCTACGCTCGCCGTTTCAACATGTACTGCGTTACCTCGGCGTCGCCAGTGTTCGGCTCAAGAATCACACCTTCTCCCGCGGCTACGGACGTACACAAGAGTCGGAGGCCAATAGGGACACGTTTCGAAGTCAAAGCCAGAGCCGCCTTGCTACTGTCGAAGGAGACGAAGAGTCTGGCTACAAAATGAAGGAGTTGCACGCGACGGAGGGGTCGGAGGGATCGGCGGACGAGATGCATTGGCGCGCTAGTGGTAACGAGAGGAATACGGGCAATGGCGAGATATGGTGCACGCACGAGGTCGTAGTTCAGCGAACCTCTCTTAGCGGAAGGCCGTCGCTTGACAACGTTCATGAAGGTGCAGATGCGCCTTGGAAGGGAGAACCGTTGGAATTTGACTTGGGCTTGGCAAGCAGGCACTTAAGTCGTTAATGAGGAGAGTTTCAATGGCAATGTTGCTGATCACATGATGGAAGGATGGCAGACGTCTGTTTGTTTATTCCAAGCGAGTGTACGAGCTACATGAGAGAAACGAATGTATAATACCCCTCCCACAAATATCACACACCGTGAGCTACAGAGGACGACCGACCAAATGAGAATCCAAGGTGTTGAACCACGTTCTCAATAGGTACGAATCGCACTCAGTTGCGTCCAGGCAAGCTGCGACCCCTGAGACTGAAGCGGTTGGAATTGATCTGCTCAGCGTTGACGCCAACCTCACAGCGCAACTTGCGATATCCCTGGAAATGCGAAGACACGAAGTCAGTGTATGTTTCACGTATAGTATCTACGGGCATAACTTACCTCCAGCCTATCGAAGGTCAAGCCGCACGTCAGGAATGCCGCGGGGAACGGATAGCACCTTCCAACACGAACATCATTCGTGTCCACTAGATCACCATCGCCGCGGTCGCGGTAGTAAGCTAGATTGCGCAAGCGTATGTTAGCTTCGCAATCCCCCTTTCCAAGTTTCCATCGCACATCAGGGGTGAGTAAGAGGACACTTACTCCAGTGATAGCCCTCGAAGTTCATCTCCAGAATCTCAATGTTGGCAGGATCAGAGTCTTCAGAGCGATTGCAGCCGTCGCCTTCGCAGCGGACGCCACGGCCGCTCGCGTCGTCGGTGTCGGGCCATATCCAATCTAGCACAGTGTCGCAGTTGGCTTCGTCTTGGTAGACTTGCCAGCCTTCGACGTTGTCGGTGATGCCGTTGCCGCCGATGCCTACGCGGTAGATTTCGAAGTCGGCGGTGACGGCGCTCAGGAGAGAGACTGTTGCCGCGAGGGTGGTGAGGAGGTACTTCATGATGAATTGCTTTGATTGAATGAAGAGGTTGGAGTCTGGAGTTGAATTATCTGAGTAATTCTCTTAAATAGACGCAGATATTCATCGTCTTTTATATGCTGGCATGTCCACTGGAAGACTCTTGAGTCCGCTCCGTAAGGGAACTGTCGACCACACCGGTGTTGCTCTTGGCCATCATGACGTCTTCTGTCTCGGGCGTTTTGGGCGAACAATTGGATATCGTTCTCACAATTATTGGTCTCTGCAAGGTCCGGATGAATGTACTGTTGAAGAAGTGGAGTCGTGAGACATGCCCAGGTGGACTGAGCAAATGCCATCGTATGGGAACGACCACGGGAAGCTTGGCTACAAGACAGCTTACGTGATATGTCAAAGGCAAGTAAGAAAGGTTTGCTACAAGGACCTACTCTTAAAAGTCATGCGATAGAGCATCATCCATTCCACATGTACATCTTCGAAAATACTTTGCCAATACCCATCAAACCGTAACTCCAAACACCCAATCTATCGATCCCATTGCAAGCCATAACCTTACTCCAAAAAACATACCATCCAAACAACTACTCTCACCGGTTCAACACCACTCCCTCCCATAAGCCATCTCGCCAAGTCCATCAACGTCCAGAAGTCAGCATGCCAAGTACCGCACATCAACCCGCAAAGGGACACATAACGCAGTTCACACTACGCCTGGCTACACAAGCTTACTATTCGCGCTAAACACTATGCCACAAACGATACACTGGCGGCTCATTGCGGACACATCGACGTCCATTTGGAGGAAAAGGGCATTGCATTAACACACCAAGCCAATGGCTCTGCTGCTTTGGTACAACGGGCGCGGTCCGTTCACTGGATACACCCGCAGAGTATGACTTGGCAGGGCGAATATGTTTTTGGTGCCAAGAATCGTTCGCACGTGTAAGCGTGTATAGGCTTCATGTGCTTCGCGCGTGCACACAGATTGGACTCTATGCCCCTGGGCGTCAGGCAGCAGGTGGGGTCAGAATTACTTGCTCGTCACCATACGGACGAAGGACAAGGAGAAGTATACTTTGGCTTATGAATTCTAGCAGCGTCGTCTCATCATAGTGACAAAGGTTTGGGGCTCGAATGTGTGTTGGATGAGCATGTCTACATGCTAGATTTGCTCAGTCTCAAGGTTAGTAATGCTGAAAATGCTGAGTTGCCAGTGACGAATAATGGGCTGGAGAACTACACATCAAATGTCAGCCCTGTCTACTTCTCGTTTGGCGAGTTAGACTATACTAAGGACGGAACATGGGTAAACGCTTTATGTCTGACATGTCATAATTCCAGGTTTGATGTGCGGGGCTCTTTTGGCTGGAACGCAATATTAGCAATGTCGCTGTTCACTATTCATGAAACATCACGTAGGGGAAAAGTGACTAAAGGGTATAATCGATTCCATTACGCATCACAAAAGGTCCTTTTGGGTAAGCAATCGCGCCAACGACTATGCAAAACACTCGCATTCCACTCTAGTTACAACCGCCCACCACACACACGCACACAATCAACGAACAGATTCGGAACCAAACAAAAAGGCGGTACACCCTATGAGTGAACACCAGGAGTATCATCGAAGAGAAAGGAAACCAATGCTAGTCATAACATAATAACATATCCGGGGTACAGAAATGCGCTTATAGCATGAAAGCGAAAGCGGCAGCGGCACCAGCGAAGCTGAGCGCAGCCTGGACACCGGAAGCAGCGTTGGTGGTAGCCTCAGGGAGCCTGGAGGTGGTAGCGTTGCCACCAGCAGTGGGCATGGGGACGGTGCCGTTGGCGTGGACACCAGTGCTGTAGGCAGGGACCATGGCGGAGGTCATGACGGTGGTGGGGTAAGGAGCCTCGCTGGAGTGGACGGAAGATGGCAGAGGGATGGGGGTGTGGCTAGCGGCGGCAGATGAAGCACCGTATCCGTTTCCGTAGCTGGCAGCGGGGGTAGAGCTGGCGGCAGCGGCGACGCTGCTGGGCTCGATCATGGAGGAAGAGACGGCCTCCTCGCACTTTCCAGCGGAGATACCGAACTGGGTGGAGTACTGGTACTGGCCGGTAACATCGTCGATGATCTGGATACCGTATCCGTTGGGGCCGTTGGTGGCCTCGAGGGTGGAGGCAGGGGTCCAGCTGAGGGAACCGCTGTTGGAGATACCCTCAGCGATGGAAGGACCGAACTTGACGACGTTGGTGGAGGGGCCCTTGAGGAGGAGGACGGAGACGGTGTTGGGGGTAGTTGGCTGCCAGGTGATGGTGAACTGCTCGCAGGTGGGGACAACCTAGTGGGGCGCATTAGCTTCCAGGGTCTTATTTGGTTTCGCGATGCGCGCGCAACGCTCAGGGGTGCAAACATACCTCGTTCAAAGGACGGGTGATGGGGTTGCCACTGGGCTCGCCAACGGGAGCGTGGATCTGGGCAGCGGCGAGGCCGGCGAAGAAAGTGATGATGGTAGCCTTGGAGTACATGTTGATGGTTGTTGTGGTGGTATTAGGTGATTAACCGGGGTAGATGGAGTATTAAGTAGTGGGAGATGGTTGGTAATGAGTGACTGGTTTCTTAAAGAAGGGCTGAAAACAAAAGTCTTCTGAGGGCTGCAAGATATCTAGGCGAAGGTGAGCAGTAGGAAGAAACAAGACAAGAGGGAGTCAGTCGAACTATATCGATTTTCCCATGCACAAACGGTCAATGCAGGTACCCCTGTTGCCGGCGCAACTTAAGATTGGTGCTTCAGTCCCGTGCAATATCCTTCGGAGCCAGCGCTAGGCCGCATTACACCGCGCTTGGGCACGCGTGACGAATGGCACCGCGACGAGGGATTTAGGCAGCTCGTATTGCAGTGGATTGCGGCGTCTTCAGGAGTGCTTGGTGGCTTTACCGGTCAGCTTGTTGGACGCTGGCGCGGGCTATTCCTGGCTGCTTGGAGATTGCTTCTGTCGCTACTGTCTGCGGGTGCCTGAAAGTTAGGAGCGTTGTTCCTGTCAGCCGGCAGACTGTCAGCAATATCGGCGCTTACACAGCCCTAACAGCTGAAGGGCCGACAGCTCAACGCCGAAGAGATGAGAGTCGCATTTCATCGCGGTGTTTGAGTTTGCGGTGAGGCGGTGTCACGATGCGCGGGCGAGGGTTCTCCAGGTTCTCGTAAGCCGTGGAACGCGATCTGCTTGCTTGTGCCCGAGTCGTGCGCTCTAGCTCAGGTACCGTTGCACTGGCGGCCGTCGAGACGCCACTGGTTCACGAACAGGCCCCGAAAAGGGAGAGTTAGGTTGGCCCTTTGTCGCACCTTCGTGCGCTCTGGCTCGACGCATCGCCGTCTAAGCGAGGCTGCACATCACAGACAGTCATCTCACCGTAGGGCAGGTGCGAGCGAGATGGGCTTGGGCCGGGCGCGGCAGCCGCGAACAAGCCCGCCAGCCCGCAAAATCACCGCTTCACCCCATTAAACCTTGACAAAGTAATCCAACTCACGGCATCGACGTGTCACGATAGTGTGCGTTTGTTTCAATTTCTCCATTGCATTGTTGACTCTACTGTTTGTTTATCGTCTCATATTTACATTGCGCCAGGTGCGCCCCTGCCCAGCCAACAGCAAAGTTGCTTTACAGCTCAATTGGGCGGTGCGACGGTGACAGCTGTGTCAGCCGGTACAAGCATGGACAGCCCTACTGTGTGTGGGTGTCCCATTTAGCGAGTGAATGCGTCGTCGGGGTATCTTCGAAGCGGTATGAAATTCGTTACATCATTACTGGTCGGTGTGTCGAGTAGGAGGTGTTGCGGCGGAGCGAGTGTGTGGTGCATGACGGACGGGAAAAAGAGTAGGATCGCGCCAAGTAGACGTTGCATGAACAACGAGGCACTTAGCCACACTGGCCGGGGTCTAGAGGTTGTCAGTTTCATGCTCATGCGACACCAGAAGGAGTACTTACACTTTCGTGCCGTTAGCGGCTGAGGGAAGATACCCTCCTTCAAGAGGTCCTGCATGTCCCATTCGGGTGCGCCCTCAGTCTTCCAGGTCCAGAAAATCCAACCGGTGGCCTTCTCGTAGGCGTCAAGCTGCGCCTCAATGAAGCGACCGACGTTGTACTTGTCGGCTTCTGACAG